ACCAGATAGTCCCTAGTCTGCTTTATTCATACTTTAAAATGCAGAACTAAGCGTTCCACAGGATGGCCCTCTCTCCTCTGCAGACAGTAAATTTTTGGAGCATTTTGAAGCATTCTGCTTTGGTGTCAGTAGTTGTCAGCCTCTTGGGGAACCACTTTGCAGAATAAATAGTCTTCTCTATATAATTGAACTGATGCGTTTCATGTCACAACATGTGGTAAGACAAGTAAAGCAGAATCGACTGAACAAGTTCAGTGCCATAGTTTGCAAGGCCTAATTTTGATTCAGTTGCAATTTGCAGGAAACGGAAATGCTATTACTGTCCATTTTCTGGCACTAGTCATCTGGGACGCAACAGGGAGATGTTGTTTCTCCTTACCCTGGTGAAAAGGTCCAGCCATAAGCCTAGCAAGATGTCCAGGTGTTTCATTCATTCAGTCTTTTCCACCAATACGTATTGATCTGGGAATTGAGAAGTGAGCAAGAGAAACATGTCATCCTACTCAGGAGGACAGACTTAATGTCAAATAAATACACTCTTAACCACAATTGTGTAAAGTGCCGGGAAGAACTGCAGGGGCCTCTGAGAGCTTTCAGTTTGAGAAGAAAAGAGCCAGGGGAGTTCCCCGAGAAAGTGCCATTTGAGCTGAGATTGCAGGGAGGACTAGTAAGTAAGTAACTGGGTGCAGAAGGGGAGAGGAGAGGGCACGGCCTGGGTAAAGGCCTCGAGGCAGGAGGGAGCCCTATGCACGGAGGGGCCAGAAGAGAGCCGCAGTGACTGGCGCACGGGGAGGGCACACGGGATGCCCGGGAAGCCGCTGAGACAGACGGGGGCGCGAGAAGCGGCGGGCTGGTCCCTGACAGCCTCCCGTCAGGAGACGATCTGTCTCCCCTGCTCTGCCCCTGCCCCCCCAGGGCCCCTTCATTCCTGTCCTGCTCTTCCTCCTAGCCCACCTGTGTTCCAGCTCCTTTTCTTTTTTTTAATTTATTTTATTTTATTAATTTACTTTATAGAGACAAGTTCTCGCTCTGTCGCCCAGGCTGGAGTGCAGTGGTGTCATCATAGCTCACAGCAGCCTCCAACTCCTGTGCTGCAGCGATCCTCCTGCCTCAGCCTCTCGAGTAGCTGGACTACAGGCGGGTGCCACCACACCCCTAGCCTGACTCCTTTTCTAAAGGGCTTTATTATTTGTTTAACCAACATTCATATACCTCATAACGATGAGCCAGCCAACAGTTCACAAATACTTACTCAAAACAAGCCTGTTATTATCATCCTCGTTTCATAGCAGTGGAAACTGAGGCACAGAGAGGTGAGGAGTCACCAGTGACAAGTCATGGTCCAAGGCCAGGATATCTGTGCTCGGCCACCATCTTCACTGCCCCTTATCTTGGCCTTCCTAGGAAGGTCATCATTTCTAGGGCATGACTTCTCCCAAGGGAGCGGGGTTTAGCAGAAGGATTCCTGCAGACCAGAGACCCAAAGGGATATTGCTGATGGTGGGCGACAGGTCCCCTGGCAGGCCAGGTGGGAGGGAAGTTTGAGCCCCTTTCAGGTGCCCCTTGGGAACCCCCTTGTCAGCATTCGTTTGCTCTGTCTGGGAGAGGTAGCCCTGCCAGGGACACGCAGGGAACACCTTTTCCCACTGGAAGTGCCATCTGAATCTGGGATCTTTTTCTTCTTCTTTTAAAAAAAAATCTGCCTTTCCTTAGTTGTTGGCATTGAACCATCAAAGTACAATTTTTTTGAAAAATGTTAACAGCCACCGAAGCATGGATATCACGTGGAAAATATTTTCCCTCTAGAGAAAGTTAGAAACAGTCTCTCACCTCTTTGGTTGTGAGCAAAAGCTCACAGAAATGGCTCACTACAAACCTTTACTTGTTCCACATTTTTGAAGGTGTGTTGCCTGCTCTCCCACAAGAGTTATGGCATTTGTGTTGAAATTGAGTTACTGGAACATTCAGATTATTATCTGTTCCCAAGGCAGATCCTTGGGATTTTAAATAAAATATATTTTTGAACATCCACATAGCAGAATAAAACAGCCTAGTTAGAAACAGCTGTTAGCAAAGGAAGGCAGTAAGTAGTCAGTCACCAGCTGAGACTAACTGTAAACGGAAGGCAGACCACGGTATGGGCAGTTTCATGCACGTGGTTTGCAGCATTCAGACTTGGAGCTTGTCTTCTTTCTTGCCCACACCACGAGAGCAATTTCTGTAGATGTTAACAGCTTGTACAACACATCTCACGCCCTTCCACCATTGCTCTCACCTACTGAAAGTATTCTAGACGCACCTTCACGTTAGAATTAGGCTGATTTTCATTCCACCCTCTTTGGCGATGATGCTTCTCATACTCCAAGTTCGTATTCCGTGTATGCCTTCCCCCAATTCACAAGCTCGGTGGACTCAGAGACACGCCCAGGTCACCTGCAGAGATGAAAATACAGTATCAAATGTTAGGACTGTCCTCTCTGGAACCAGACTGCCAGGGCTTGACCTCTGGGTCCCAAAGGTACTGGCAGTGTGACCTTGGGCCACTTAACGTCTCTGTGGCTCATATGCCATATGTGAAATGGGGGTATATCTTCCCGGAACATAGAAAAGCTATGGTAGCAACTGCAGATGTTAGCTATTATCATTTGTTTTTGTTGCCACCTCAATGCCTGGCACATAGAAGATACTCAAAATTGTAATCTTTCAACATTATTTACCTGGGGCGGACCACGTGCCCAGCACCATCCCAGAGGCCAGGGTACCATTCACATCGTGTTCCCCGAGGCTTCCATGACAGAATACGATGTGTGGCCAAGCAGACCTGGCCGTGTGTTAGTAAACACAACAGGTACCTGTCCTCTTGTAGATTACGGGCTGGTATGACAGAGAAACAGGTAAGCCATGAGATTTGTTGGGCATTCACAGAAGGAATAAATAAGATTGTTTTGGATGGCGAGCAGTGCTCTGAAGAAAGTAAGACGTGATGAAAAGAGGGGAAGGGGACTCCGGGTGGACCACCAGGGGAGGCTTGTGGAGGAGCAGACATGTAAGGTGAGAACTGAGGCCGCCTGGGAGCTGGTCTGGCCGAGCCCTGGGGGCCGAGACTGCAGTCGGAGAACAGGCCTGTGCCAGCATGCACATTCCTGCACCCCCCGCCCCCTGCCACCCTTCTGTCCTGCTCTGTGCCGGGGAGACTGGCCTCTGGGGACTGCGTCGCCCGCCTGCCTGCCTTCTGGCTCCCAGCTTGTTCAGCTAACAGGAGGCGCCAGCAGCATCTCGGAGGGCAGGAGGAAGCGAGGCTGGGGTATTTTTCCCCCACACTCACGGGGCCATGATTTAGCAATGGTTTTGTTCTTGCCCCCAGGGTGGCCTCATGTGCCAGATGACCTCCCCCAGCTGCAGGACTTGCTGGTTCCAGTAATGCTATGCCCCACACCTTAGCAGCTGCTGGTGAAGGGGTGGCAGGGATCGGCGAGGGAACGTGGAGGGGCTGCCTGGGCACGTGTTCTGCGTGGCACGGGAAGTCTTTGGAGCGTTTTAAGCAGGGGAGAGCCCCGTATTCACATCTACCTTTTTGGAACTGCATTGAAGCAGCTCGCTTTTTTACATCCCAGTGCTTTTTTTTAGATTGAGATTAGCATCTGAGAAACACTGTTTGCTGTAAACTCTGTGACTCTCTCTCGGGTTTTTCCTCTCCCGAGAGAGCATCATCCGTTTGGCTGTTGCTGTTGTTGAACGTCCTCGACAGCGAGGCGCTATTTAAAGTCGGTGCCTCGAGTGGTGACAGTGATCATTTGGGGGCTTATCCAGCGTGGGTGGCTTCTGCTATTCCATCTGCCACGAGACCCACAATCTTGCTTTTATAATCGGAGCAGGACTGACTTTTTTTTTTTTTTACTGCCACCCACAGAAAAACAAGAGTGTAATTTTGGAAACAGGCCATTAAGCTGACAGGTAACTTTGCTTTCTCCTTCCTCGGACCCAAAAGGGAAGGCTCTCAAAACATGTTTGCCCAGACGGGGGCGTGCTGATTAGTGGGAATCACATCTTGTCATTTTCCTCTGTGTAGTTTAACGCAGCTTATGAGTGGGTCTTGCCTTTGTTAAGTAACTGGCACTTTAATTCCTCTGCAGCTGCTGAAGGGAGGACTTGAGTGTCTATGTTGTTTTTTTTTCCTCTTTAGGATTATTTATCCTTTTTTGTTTCTCCACTAGGACCATCCTGAACACGGGGTCCTGTTTCTGGTTCGAGAGCTTCTCAACGTGATCCAAGACTACACCTGGGAGGACAACAGCGATGAGAAGATCCGCATCTACACCTGCGTCTTGCACCTCCTTGCCGCCATGAGCCAGGAGACCTTTCTCTACCACATAGACAAAGGTAGCAGCGTCCCCTCCCGCCAAACCCTGCTCCGCCTGGATTTCACAAAAGGCAAATGGAACGTTGTCATTTTCTCTTTTATTGACTTTCCCCTTGTGTTTTGGCCGCTGTGAACTTCTGATCCAGGTTTCACTAAGTTTACCTTGATCTAAGACATACCCGGGGCAGCTCTTAGAGTACAGATTCCTGAGCCCTCTCTTGCCCCCTTCTAAGTTAGAATCCCCAGGAAGAGGCCTGAGAATTTATATCTTTAACAAGCGCCTGAGATCATTTTGACCATCAAACCAGTTTGGGGAAAGACTCTTTCAGATCAGTGTGCTACAGAATAACCCAGAACGATGGCTAAACATACACATGCGTGAGCTTCACGCCAGGCCTGTTCCTTACCACAGTCTCAGGGAGGCACCCGGCATGGGTGTTTGTCGCCTGCTCTTCAGGTGATGCCACGGTTCAGCCAGCCCTTGGTTTGGGTGTTCTAGAGGAGGGAGGTGGCCTTGTTCCCCCACCTGCTACTGGCCATTTCGAACTTGCTGGTGTAAGTTTAGGAGCAGCCTCTTCACACCCTGGGTGTAACATGGAGCCGCCCAGTTCCAGGCCTTCTCCCGCTGAGCCTAAGTGTCGTCCTGCTTGGCGGGCAGTCAGCTCTAATTTTTGGTTTCCAAAATATGCACCTATTGTTAAAAGTGCCTCGGCCAGTAATTGTATCCCCTGCGGTTAAAAAACTGTCTCTACACATGGAAATTGCAGTGAACGCGTTAGCAGTGCTAAGGGGTGGCCTTCTGTCATAGCTCTGCGCAGCTTTCTCTTGCTGGGATTTGGGGGCTGAGGATAAAGATGCAACTTGGGGAGGCCGGTTAATGTGAGAATGGTGGCTCCCTTGACCTGAGCACCTACCGCGTGCCAGAGACCACACCAGACCCTGCAGGCATTTTTCTCCTTCAATCCGTACAGCTTTGCTATGAGGACAGACATTTGTGTCCCCAAGGGGAGACCCAGAAGGACAACGTGATTTGCTCAAGGGCTTCCACCAGTTAGTGACGGAGTCTTTTATAGTATAGCATGTAACATACGTATAATGAGCTGTCAGGCTCAGTGAAGTATCACAGAGTGAACACACCCAGGTGACCACAGCCCAGATCAAGAAGTAGAACACTGCTGGTTCCTCAGAAGTCCCCCTCATGCCCGTTCCAGTCAGCGGCACCACCCTCCTCTCCGAAGGCACAACCACTCTCCTGACTTCTAGCATCATCGATTAGTTTGCTAGTTTTTGAATTTTATGTAAACAGAATCATTTCACAAGCATTCTTTGGTATCAGGCTGCTTCCAATGTGATGTCTGAGCCTCACCTGTGTTGGTTGTGCATAGCTGTGGTTCATCCTTTTGCGTTGTTGCGTAGCGTTCCACCGTGTGAATATACCAGAAGTGGTTTGTTCCCTTATGGCTGGACATTTGCACTTTTCTAGGTCCAGCTTGGGGCCATTATGAGCAGTGCCACTGTGAACATTCGTGTACATGTTTCTTAGCGTACATCTCTGTTGGCTATCTGCTTTGGGTGAGGTGAGGGCTTTGCTTACGTTCTGCCTTGGTGGATACCACCTCCCAGTTCTTCAAAATGGCTAGACCAGTTGACATTCTCACCTGGCATGAATGAAGCTTCCATTTGTTCTGTTGGTATAGTCGGTCTTTTTCATGGTAGCCCTTCTGATGAGTGTAATTTGCATTTCTCTGATAGCTAATGAGTTTGAGCACTTTGTCCTGTAATTGATGGCATTTTTATTTCCTCTTTTGTGACGTGCACACTGTGAACAACAGAGAAGGTTTTGAGGACCAGACAGGGACAGGGAGCGGGCCTGTCAGAGGAGCATGCCCTGCACTTTCCTCACTCTACTCTTCCTCAAGCAGATTGAGTTAATCCTGTCTCTGAACGAGAGCGCCAGGGCACGCTGCCGGAGCCAGATTGCTACAAAGGGATCGAGGCTATATTTGATGGGCAGGAATCTAGTTTTCTAGCTTTTAAAGATGAGAAGAGAAGGATGGGTTTTCTTTGTCTTCTTAGGCCAGCTGTGTTTACTTTGGATGCACAATTGTGACCTGACAAATGCCTTTGTGGAGAGACCCAGGGGGTTGCGGGGGGCTCTGCGGAAATTGGGGGCCCCATTTTCCTGGCTCCCTTTCTTATCCTAGGGAGCCTTTTAGGCACTGCTGACACAGCTTAGAACTTCTGGAAAAGAGGGGTTAAATAAATTTTGCTCAGCCGCTTTCCTTCCTGATTAATAAAAAGAGAAGGCTCTGACATTACCTGGAGCAGTAACTCCAGTACTTCCACGAGGGCTTGCGAGAGCGTGCACGTGTTAGATGTGGAAGAGAAGAATATTCCTGCACACTGAATGTTTATTTAATTAATGTGCAGATCGAGGATATCTTTGTTGGGAGAGTACAGCCCAGGGTGCTTCTGCGAAGCCAAGGCACAGCCCCCTTCGCTCTTCCACACCACCTGCCAGGCCCTTGAAGCATTTGGGTTTGTGACCCAGGTCGGACAGATGCGGAGATCATGGGCTATTTTTAGTGGCCATTTGCCAGGGACATCATCTCTGCCCCCGCGAGAGCCACGTCTGGACTCGCAGGCCCATTCTACACTCCGGCCTGACCAAATTACCCCGAATTCTCAAATCCACCCTTTTCTTTCTCCCTCTGTGACCACCAAGTGTTAGCATGGAAAACTCACTTCCTCTCTCCCAACTCCTTTTTCCACTTTCTCTAGTGAATTTAACCTTTAGGGCTCAGCCTAGATCTATCTCACTGATTCCAGAATTCAGTGCCAAGTCTAGATTTTTAGGATCCCATGGCCCCCTCTGGAGCCCGCTCCTGGCACTTAGCACATGCTGTTGCAATTGCCTGTTTGTGTGTCTGTGTCTCCCGAGAGACTGTGAGCTCCATGAGAGCAGGGCCCGGATCGGCCTCGTCCCCAGTTCTTAGCCCAGAACTGGGCACGGAGCAGGCCTCATTCACTAGGTGCTGTTTTGTGTGTGCGTGTGTGTTCGCTTACACACGGGCCAGCATGTGTGAGCGAGCAAGCGGCCTGCTCTTAACACACCTCCGGCCCCTCTGGGTGGTTGGGCCTTCCCTCTTCTCCAGTTCTGGGCTGTTCAGAGAGAGAGTAAACTCCAGCCGGGAGGAAGACTGGGAATTTATGCCAGGAGCTATTCTGGTCTCAGCAGGAGACGTGAGAAACTCCTTCACCAGCTGCAGTTCTGCCAGCCTGCATGATCAGTGGTAGCGAATGGCCGAATTGGATTCTTTCACTCCTTACGAAAATAACCACCATCTTCCACGTGGGAGACAGCAGTCACGACACCGCAGCCAGAGCCGTCTTGGAAATTCTAAGACTGACTGCGCGGCGGCCCAGGGCCATTCACTCCCAATCTGGTTCAGAGAAGCAGTTGCAAAGGAATCTGCCTGGGAAAGTGGCCCCCGAAGAGTCCCCATAAATGGGCAGCTCAGGATTGGATGGAGATTACCTGCAGGCAGAGAGCCTGGGGAACCAAGGAAATCAGCCATTCTCCTTACTCTTAGGCAGTATGTCTGCAACTTGCTGAAAATGGTTCATCCAAAAAATAAAAAAATTGTGTGTGTGTGTAGAGAGAGCAAGCAAGAGAGCTTGCACAAAAGTAGCAAAATGTTACTGATTGGTGATTTCAGGCAAGAAGTAGGCAGGTATTCATGGTACTGTTTTTTTTCCTACTTTTCTATAGCCTTGACATTTTTTGAAAATAAGCTGGCGAAAAAGAAGAATCAAGAGTTATTGTTCTGGAAATGTGAACTATAAATGAACAAAAATCATCCCTGAAATTATTTTATCAGTTACTTACTATATGCTTACACGGGCCCATTTCCCAAAAGATTCAAGGCAGGTTATAGGAAATATATGAAAATAATGAAATATAGTTTTTTAAATTTAAAAGCTTGCTTCTTAGGAAATTCGAAATTAGGAAATATATATAGATATGTCTGTGCTAAATATAGGGGCTCTACTATGTATCCTGTTTTGTCACTTTTTAAAAATTAATCGTGTATTGTAACTATCTTTTAGTAGTAGTATATTGTAGCAGTAGTGTAACTATAGATTGTATACATTTATACCACAGAGCGGGGAATCAAAACTCCATAGGCATTCTGTTGCTTCTCATCCCACCATTATAAACACCAATGCAATGAACATCACAGACATGCATGTTTGTACACCTGTTGGATTATTTTCTTAGGATAACTCTCTTGGAGTGGTTTTCCCAAGTCAGAGCATCTGGACTTTTTTTGTACTAAGACCTTTTCTTGAAACATTTTTTTTAATTGTGGCAAAATATACATAACATAAACTTTATCATTAAGTGCACAATTCACTCTCATCAAGTACATTCACAACGTTGTATAGCCATCACTATTATCCATTCCAGAATTTTTTCAGCATCCCCAACAGAAACCCTGTACTCAGTAAGCAATAACTCCCCCATGGCCCCTCTCTCCAGCCCCCAGTAACCTCTGTTGTACTTTTAGCCTCTGTGAATTTGCCTATTCTAGGAGCCTGATATGAATGAAGTCAGTATTTGTCTTTTTGTGTCTGGCATATTTCACTTAGAATAATGTCTTCAGAGTTCATTCACGTTGTGGCATGTGTCAGACTTCCCTTCATTTTTAGTGCTGTATAATATTCCATCGCATGGATATTCCACATTTTGCTTATCTAGTCATCGGTTGGCGACACTTGGGTTGTTTCCGCCTTTTGGCTATTGCGAATCGTGCTGCTGTGAACTTTGCTGTGCGTGTGTCTGAGTCGCTGCTTTCTGTTCATCTGGGCCTATACCTAGAATGGGAATTGCTGGCTCCAGCCATAAGTCTACGTCTGACTTCTTGAGGAACTGCCGTGATGTTTCCACAGCAGCTCTCCATTTTACGTCCCCATCAGAAACGCATGACGGTCAGTTTTTTACATTCCTGCCAACACTTGTTTTCCGTGTTTTGTTTAATAATAGCCATCCTAATGGATGTGAAGGGCACTGGACATTTTTAAGGCTTTTCATGTCTATTTCACACTATTAGACTCCTACCAATAGTTTTCCCAGACGTATGTCAAAATCAGTTATCATTCTTTCTCACCTTTGTGATATAAGTGATTTTTTAAAAAAACGTTCTGCGGTTTTAGTTTTCTGTTCGTTGGTTACCAGTGAAGTTGATTTTTGTCATAACATTATAGGCCAGATAAAGACCTGGGCTTTTCTGAGACTTCATGGCAAGTGTCTGTTGAATATCATCCTTGTTTCTGTAGCTCATAGCCAGTGGTCCGGTGAGTATTTCTGTTCAGACAGTGACAGCTCGTGACTTACACGACAACGAGCTGTCGCCATGGCGCACTCTCACTCTCAGCCTCACCTGTCTGCAAGTGAAACTTCGTGCCATTTGTCCCTCACTTGTACAACCTCGCAGGCCCTCCTGCATTAGTGATAAATGGTAGCTCTTTTGAATTGTGTGTATGCGAGTGTCCTTCCCACTTGTTCCTTAGAGACAGTGGTGAATATTCTGTAAATGGGGCGAGAAAAGCACAATACATTCCAGCAGACAAGCTAAGCTGGATTTGGTTTATTAAACACGGCCCTAAACCACACAGCTGGATTAGTGCTGTTCGCGTGTGGCTGCATTTGCACAACCACACCCTCCCAAGGCACAGGCATGGCCCAGGTGTATCAGATGTCACCACACCTAGGACAGTGGCCCAAATTGTAGGAGAAGCGGCAAGAACTGCAACCAGCAAGAAGTGGGCCCTCTTCTTGACCACTCAGTGCTGCGGCGGCTCCCGGGATTCTCCCCCAAGAGAGTGCTACTTTCCCACGCCAGGTAGAAATGACCACACTTGACCACTGCAAGTCAGGGTTTGGGATTTGAGATGAAAGCAGCTGCGAAAGGATCCAACAGAAAAGGGAGGATAAGCTCACGAGAGTGTGGAGAGAAAGAATCGACTCTGCGAGGCAGGGCTAGGGGTTCCATTGTGTGCTCTAGGCTTTGCGGCAGGCCCTAGCCAAAAAAAAAAAAAGAAAAGTAAACAACTGAAGTGTCCCCAGTAGGGACCAACTAAATACATTCTGTTCCATCCTATGATAGAATACTATTCAACCATTACGAATCACCCCCAGATCTGTATGCAGTCGTCTCCCCACATTTGCAGTTTCAGTTACCCGTGATCAACCATGGTCCAAAAATGTTAAATAGAAAATCCCAGAAATGCTTCATAAGTTTTTTTGTTTTTTTAAGACGGGATCTCACTCTCATCCAGACTGAAGTGCAGTGGTGCAGTCACAGCTCACTGTAACCTTGAACTCCTGGGCTCAAGCCATCCTCCCGTCTAAGCCTCTTAAGTAGCTGAGACTACAGTCACACGCCACGGTGCCCAGCTATTTATTTATTTATTTTTTAGAGACTGAGTCTTGCTACATTGCTCAGGCTGATCTCTAACTTCTGGCCTCAAGCAGTCCTCCCACCTTGGCCTCCCAAAGTGCTGAGATTACAAGCATGTGCCACCTGGCCTTCTTAAGTTTTAAATTGCACACCATTCTGAATAGCGTAAGAAAATCTCACTTTGTCTAAACCACCCAGAACGTTAATCGTCCCCTTGTCCAGTGTATCCACACTGTATGTGCTACCCACCCATTACTGTATAGCAAAAAGCATAATGTATTCAGGTTCCAATACTATCTGAGGTTTCAGGCACCCACTGGGGGTCTTCGAATGTATCCCTCAGGATAAGAGGTGTCTACCGTATGCAGGTATGGAAATAGCTCCAAGATTTATTATTAAGTGAAAAAAGCAAAGTGTAAAGCAGCGCACAGCGTAGTATCTCTTTCCTCACCCAGATCACGCTTTGTGTGAAGTTCAGTTGATAGGAAGGAGGGAGGGAGTTTAGACTCAGGCTGTCCTTGGCTGGACCAGTTTTACTCTGGGCAGTGGTTGTCACAGGACGAGACCAAGCTGAGCAGAGGACTTTTTGGAAAGAGATATTGTAAAAGGGATGCAAGTTTTTAGAGTGTTGAAATAGAGAATGTTTGCATTCCTTCCAAGGCCAGTTTGGAGGAGAGGGTGACAGGGCAGGCAGCTGGATGCAGTGGCTAAGAGCTTGGGCTTGGGAATCAGACTTCCCAGTTTAGGATCCTAGCTGGGACCACTTCCTGTCCCTAAAAGGGAGATGTTACTGTCTGTTTCACATGCTGGTTATGGGGACTCTGCAATAGTGAGAGTAAAGCTCCTAGCCCAGGGCCTGGCAACTGCTCCGAAGGTCACTATGATTATTAATGTCCCCGTCCATGCAGGGGCTGGAGAGGGTATGACTTCCATACCGCTGGCTCAGACTAGCCTGCAGGCCAGGTGTTTTTTTGCTTTTGTTTTTCTTTTTTGTAGAGACTGGGGCTCTCTATGTTGCCCAGGCTGGTCTCAAACTCCTGTCCTCAAGCGATCCTCCCACCTTGGCCTTCCAGAGTGTTGGGATTACAGGTGTGAGCCACCGTGCCTGGCCACAGGTGTTTTCTTTGTGATTCCCAAGGCCCCAAGCCCAGTGGGAAAGTTCAGCTACTTCCATTTGCCCTGCCATGGTTTCCTGCCATCTGCTGACACCGCATGACACGTGCCTGCCTCTCCCTGGCCAGGATGGCCAAGGGGCTTGGGTCTGTCTCACTGTTCTTGTTTGTTCAATCAGTTGACTCCAACGACAGCCTCTACGGGGGAGACTCCAAGTTCCTGGCAGAAAACAACAAGCTGTGTGAGACAGTGATGGCTCAGATCCTAGAGCATTTGAAAACCCTGGCCAAGGATGAGGTAAGTGCCCTCTGCCTAGCCCCTGCCGGCTGCTTGCTCTGAAAGCATGAGTTTTCAGGGTGGTTTGACATTGCTTCATTCTAGAAAGGAAATTATTAAATGTATCATGTGCGTAATGTGTTTCTGTGCAGGCCATTTATTGAGTGCTCCAAAGCCTTCCTCTCTGCCCAGAATGTACCTGGCTGTTTCTTCTTATCATTCCAGCCTCAGCTCAAAGGACCTCCTCAGAGAGGCCTTCCTGAACCCCTTCTCGAGTAGCCACCTCCCGCCTGCATGCCTCCCCTGACTTGTCCCTGTGACACCTGATCCCAAGCTGAGCTGTTCTGCGTGTTTGTCTGCTGGGCAGTCCCTGCGTCCTCTCCTAGAATGTGGGCTCCATGGGAGCAGGGACCTCATGAGTCTTGAAGACCTGCTGTGCCCAAACAACCAACCTGAGACAGGGTCTCTGGGCCCCGCCCTATCCCACACAGGGCCTGGCATACAGGAGGTGCTCCACCAGTGCATGGTGAATAAATGACAGCGTGGCTTGCTTGTACCTTGGCTCTTCCGATGCCACAGCAGCGCTGTGAGATGTCGGTGCTACGTTTATTCTCACTGAATGGGAAAGGAAACTGAGGCTCACAGGGTGTGCAGGGACCTTGCTGTTTCCTCTGCTTGTGACAGAACAGCAGAGATGATCTTTCTTTCTTCTTCTTCCTCCTCCCTTCTCCTCCTCCTTTTTTCTTTTTAAATAATTTTTAGTGTTTATTCACCAAAAATTGATTGAGTATATGCTATGCATTGAGGATACAGGGGTGAGCAAGACAGACAACTCTGCAATGAACTAACGTTCTAGTGAAGCAGAAAAGCAATAAACAATGTCAGGTAATCATAAGAGTTGTCAAGAAAATAAAGCTGGGTGAGGGGGAAGAAAATGGTGTCATTTGGGGGCATGGAGTGGTGTCTGTTTTATCTTATTTAAATTTAATTTTATTTATTTCTTTATTTGACATAGAATTTTACATATTTATGGGGTACACAGTGATGTTTTGACACATATAATATATAGTGATTAGAGCAGGGTAATTAGCATATCCGTGATCTCAAACATTTCTTCACTCCGAAGCAACAGTCTGGTTTAATCACAGGTGGCTACTGACAGCATGAATGAGCATGGCCTAGAACCCCTAAGATCACAATAAAAATAAGGCCCAGAACCATATAATTTGGAGCCAATTTTATTTAACGTTTATGTTTCTTTTTCTTCGGGGGAAAGGGGTTAATGGTGATGATGACTCTAAAACAGAACTCTGAAAGAATAGCAAAGCTGGAATGTTCCTGGACATTTCACCTCACATAAGTACCAGAGACTTGCACTGAAATTGTCCATATATGCACATTTATTAGAATAGTATGTGTGGATTGAGCTGACATTGAACGTGCCATCCTTCATGTTAACAGCAGAATGAAGTTCAGCATGGGTGACCCTATCAGAGCCCTCCAGAGTCCGGTACCCCCGAGAGCATGAGGCTCGCTGCCCAGCCCTATTACAGCCCAGCAGGGTGAGGTCGGGTTTCTCCCCACCCAGTGGTGGGGTGGGGGCAGCTTCCTGCTGTCGGAAAACCCCAGTGCTGATGCTGCGCCTCACGTCGCATCTCCCGGCACTGGCGGCAGCCCTGCTTCCAAAACTGTCCTCTTAGGTTCACGTGAAGATGCCAGCCCTGTTTTCATCACAGCCTTTATTTTATGAAATTGTTTGTTTGGGTGTGGTGGAGCTGGGAACGATGCCAAACCCTTAGAGCTTCCTGGAAATGACAATTCTCATAGGAAAAGCAGCTCTTTTCCATTTAAAACCTCTGGCGAGAGGAGGGGGCCGGAGGCCCTGATTGGGTCTCCATGTTCGTGGTTTTTCCCGGGGTTTGAATATCAGCTGGCATGCTTTGTCATCCCTGGCACGTCTCTGATGGTTTCACTTTTAATGGGCTGTGGCATTTAAAACACATTGGAATTGAGCTTTTTAGGGTAAAATGCTTATTGACAGGCTATGGAACAGAGAAATAGTCAATTAGATATTATGTTCCTGGTTTGACTTTTTAAAAAATCGCTACCGCTTTAGTGAAGTATAGTTAAAAGGGCCTCTCTCAGGGGAGACTCTTTTAGTTGGCTTTGAAATAGAATTTTCTTTTAGCTTGGTCTCCTAGATCTAAGAAAGCAGGGCCCTCCTATTGTCCGAGGCATCAGACAGGGGCCAGGTTAAAAAGGGAGCAGAATGGCCTTGGCCTCCTCGCTGGGGCGGAACTGATAGAACAAATGAAGACAGAGGTGGTTGCCAGCCAGTTAGCGAGCCCGTGCCGAGTAGGTGCCAGCACTCGTGCTGCTTGCCAGGGCGACGCCTTCTCTCCTCACGCCTGTGGGCTCGGGCACCCATAGCGCAGCCCACTCCCCAGTGAGCCGACTCTTCGAGGTCAACCCCCTCAATTTGGGGGGGCCCAAGTCTCTTAACGGTCACTCCGCCACCCTTATTCAACTGCATTCGAAGCTGTTCCTTTTTTTTTTTTTTTCCACGAAAAGACTTTAAATTCTCACTTGGGGGAGGACGGCAGGAGGGGGCCCTCAGCTGGCTCAGCAGTCAGCAGAGAGTGGCGCTCAGTGAGCTCCACGTGAAACCCTTGTGGAATGACGGATGGTTGCCTAGGTCGGTGATACCCACCGAGGGTGGGCAAATGTGCTTTGGTCTAAGCCAAATCAGACCATCCCCGATCCTGCTCCCTGGACAAAGCTGTGCAGCTGAGGCTGCAAGTGTCTACCTCCTAAGAACGTGCATTCCTAATACGAAGCTACTGGGGGTCTGGAGTGGGACAGCTGGAGCGCAAGTCGTCCTCCTGCGCTTACCAGCTGTGGTCCTTGGGCAAGTTCCTTAACCTTTCTGAGCTTCGGGCACCTCATCTGCAAAGGGGGAGTGTATTTCCTGTTGCTGCTGTAACCAGTTGCCACAAACTTACACCTAAAACGACACCCATTTATGGTCTCCGCAGTCGGCAGGTCAGAACCAGTGCTGGAGGGGCTGACGTCTCTGTTGCGGGTTTCCCGGCGGGGCTCTTCCTGGGAGGCACTGGGAAGGATCCACTTCCCTGCTCCTTTGAGTAGGGGCAGAATGCGGTTCCATGTGCTTGGACCAAGGTGCTGTTTGCTTGCTGGCTGTTGGCCGGGGGTCCTTCTCAGCTTCTAGAGGCCGCTTGTACTCCTTGGCTTGTGGCCCCCTTCCTCCATCTTGAAAGCGAGCAGTGGTGGGGCACGTTCTCCTCCTGCATCCAATCTTCTTGCTCACCTTTCTTCTGCTTTTCTCTTTCACCACTTGTCTCTGATTCTGGCTGGGGAAATTTCTCTGCATTTAGGGGATCAAGGGATTCCACTGGGCCCACCAGATGGTCCAGGGTAATCTCCCTGTCTTACCTCCATCTGCAGAGTCCCTTCACAACAGCACCTGGGCTAGGATTTGAATAACAAGGGGACAGGTCTAGAATTCTGTCTACCACGGGAGGTTATAAATGTACCTGCCACAAAGAGTTGATGTGAAGAGTAAATCAGGTGAGTTGTATGAAGCGCAGAGCGGAATCCCTGGCACACACTGAGGCTCCTGACATTCTGCAGCGCGGCCAGGACCACCCAGCAAGGGCCCCAGCGTCCAGCATAGACGTGCAGTCTGGCCTGGCCCCACGGGCTTCCTGAAACAGCAAGTGCCCCCCAGTGGATGTAGCCTTCCCAGGGGCCTTTGTTTACCTTTGGGATATTGTATCCTTTCCCCTGGGCCTGGTGTTGCATTTGGAGATTTATTTTCCCTTTTGTCTCTACCATTCAAAGCTGGGGTTCAGGTTTGGCCTACCATGTGACATATGGTTAGACTTGTTTTGGCAAGGTACCTCTCATATCAGATTATTGAGCGAGAGAGGGAAGATCTGGTGTTAGCTTGTAAAGTGGTTCTTCTATTAATAAAAGCTGGACGTGGGAACCAGGTGTTGGGGAGCTCCGTTTGTGGGGAGCCATCATTTGGTCTCTATTATCAGCACCCGAGGGGTAGGAATAGTGACTGCAACATTGGTCAGTTCGAGGACACACGTGAAAGAGACGCCAAAGTCTCTCGGTTTTAAATTGTACTTGCATTTAAGCAAGGCTTGTCCCTGCTGGGCGAAGCCTCATTCCCCAGCCCCACTGACTGTTGAGTCTCTTCCATTTCTTGAGTAATGACCATCTGTGGGGCAGAGAACTACGTCAGCTCACTGAATCCTCGCTTATCCTGTGCAGTGGGGACCTCACTGTCACTTACAGATGAAGCAGCTGGAGCTCTGGGAGGTTAAGCACCTTGCCCCACAGCAAATACGTGGCACAGCTGGCGCTGTCCACGGCGTCACCCCGGGCCCAGCCCGAGCCCCAGTGCAAGGTAGTAACCTCCCTTTTCTGTTTCAGGCCCTGAAGCGCCAGAGCCTGTTGGGACTTTCCTTCTTTAACAGCATCTTGGCCCACGGGGACCTGCGCAACAACAAGCTTAACCAGCTTTCCGTCAACCTGTGGCACCTGGCGCAGAGGCATGGCTGTGCGGATACCAGGACCATGGTGAGACGCGCGCAGGGCCCCACCGCATAAGCCCGCCAGCCAGCGTCGGGACCTGGACGTCGCACAGCGCCAGTCTCCCTCGTAGAAAGGCACCAGGCCCAGGAATTCTGCTGGGTCACTTCCTAGCACTAAAGAGCACAGCATTAAAAGTTTATTCCCTCCGAATAAAAACCACAAGTAAAAACATCAGTCATTCCTGGCTATACCCAAATCTGATTTTGGGTCAGGTTACAATCTAAGTAGTTTTATTTTAAAGATTTTGATTTCTTCCCCTTCCCTCATGCTTCAAAAGACTCCCTGTTCTCTGCTAAGAGGCGTTAAGTTCACTTAATGGCTGATTTGTTGGGGCCTCGGGCTCCAAGGATAACGAACCAGAAAGGAGATGTATCTTTCTTTTTCCTTCTAGGTGAAGACACTCGAATACATCAAGAAACGAAGCAAACAACCAGACATGAATCATCTGACCGAGCTGGCCCTCAGACTCCCTCTGCAAACGAGGACCTGACCCCTGGGCCCATCCTCAGGGTCAGGGACTCCGATGCCAAGTCCAGAAAGATCTGCTTTGCTGCCCTGAACTCTTATTGGAATTTAGGGTTTTTTAAATTTTTACATATATACAAAGTGGTTTAAGCTTTGGCCTCTACCCAGGTTATTCTGACAGTGAAGAAGTGGGAATTGTCAGAGCATTCAAATCAAACTTCTTCATCGAGAAGCAGCATCTTAGTGTTTCTTTGCACAAGGGCCCTTGAGGGTCTCAGTAAGCACCAAGAGAAGGATCCTATGGGCCTTTAGCGAGAAAGAAAAGAGTGCAAGTAACATTTTTCTTTTCTGGAAGGTGTTGTTTCATAGTTTAGAAAAAGAACTTTGAAAAGCAGTTCACTTTTAAAGTGCCATTGTTCTAGACACATTCAATTCCAGACTTTGTACCCTGAAGTTAGAAAGCACCCCAAGTCTGGAATTCAGTGCTGCCTAAACCACCTTGGGGGATTTATACAAGGCAGATACCTCACTCAGCTCCTTTTCCTATCAGAAGCAGCTCTTGATTGGACCTAGAATATGCTGGTGGATCAGAGGAGAAAGCAAGGTCCAATTTGAGATCTACCGTGGCTTCAGCAGACCGTACTTCTAAGTGACTAATAAACGTCCTGAAGGAACACTGGCGTACGACTGTTCATTTAATTACTTCTGACTCTTTCTCCAAAAGAGACAGGATGTTAGCCCGGTTTGCTTTGCAGCCGTCATTCCAAACAGCATGTGATTCTGTCTCCTGTTCTACCACCAGTTTGGTGGACCTGATTCTTGGATGACTGCTGGTGAGCTTCCACCAACACTTCATTTTGAATCAGGAAGTGCACCCATATCGATTGGTAATTCACGGCCCACGAAATGCATCCAAATTGTGGATTAAAAGTGCCCCAAACTACTGGGCTTCTGGAAGATACACACTGGATGTAGATTACATTTCATCTGTACTCTGTGCAATACAGGATTACAGTTAACACATGGCTAACCTCCGAAAGTTAAAGCAATTGTTAAATAAATTCATATAAACTCATGTTTTTACTGAATAGTTTAGGACCAGCAATGTTGCTGTGGATTTCCTGGCCAACTTGATGACAAACATCCCACCCCCAGGAATTCTGTTGAGAAAACGGCCTCTATAAAGAACAGCAGACACTAAAGAATGCCTCCTGCCCTCTCCATTACTAAACATACAGAAACTCGGGAAGCATTGTGGTGTTGCTCAAATACGCTCAAGTGGCCTTTATTTCAAAAAACTATTTTCATTAAAACTATTTTATCTACTACTTTTACCACGTGATGCTATTTAGATGAAAAACAATTGGCAAATTCACAAATTACGCTCTGTAGGTCACTTCTACTTTGAGGCTATACATGTTGGACAGCATTGATTCCCAGACCTGGGCCAATGAATTCTTACTGCTCTTACATTAACCTGAAGTTGGACTTTCACATTAGGCCGGGTAGATACTATACCAAAGGAGCTTCTGAATCCTGCCGCCTGGCCCAGTTCTTGTGCAGTTTTCCCTGGCCCATTACTGAATCAATAAGCCAGTCTCTAAAAACCATGGTCTACACGGATGAAGTCTACGATTACGAAGGATGGAGCAATCAAAGATCTAACCAAGAATTTCTGGAAGGTAAGAAATGGAAACTTCTGCACGAGGCCTGTATTAGTTTTCTTCTGTTACTTTAACAGATCACCTTTCATCATCTGACAGCAGTTCTGTTGGTCCAAAGTCCGGCTGGTCTCACTGGGTTAAATTAGGGTGTCAGCACAGCTGCAATCCGTTCTGGAGGCACCAGGGTGGACAGTTTTCTTGCCTTTTCCAGCTTCCGGAGGCCACCCATGTTCCTTGGCTTGTGGCTCTTTCCTTCCCATCTTCAAAATCAGCAATGGCGGGTTGAGTCTTTAAGTCTCTTCAACACTGACTCTTGCTTCCTCTTCCACATTTAAGGCCCCTTGCGATTACACTGGGCCCACCCAGACAATCCCCGACAGTCTCCTTATTTTAAGGTCAGCTGATTGGCAGCCTTACTTCCTTTTGCTCTGTAACTTAACAAAGTCACAGCTTCCTAGGGTATTTCCTATTCCTGGCGGGGGTGGGGGGGGGCGTTCTGCCTACCACAAGCCCAAATAGTTCTAATAATTTGCAGAACTGAGCAGGCAACTTCTTATACAAGACAACTGTGGCTATTTAGCAAATACTTTTGATGGGCTAGTCTGGCTGTGGAAAGGCAGCCTCAGGGCAGGGCCTAGTGGGCTAAGCAAAGGTGTGGCAGGATTCACTTCAAGGAAAAAAGTGGTAAGAAGCATGAGGTTTTGGAGACAGCTGGAAACCTGCATTTTTTTAAGAAGGAAAGGACCTTGCCATAGTCACTGAAAAATCTCCAAGGGAAAAACAGCCAAGTTTGAGAACAGGGCTATTAAATATTTGACTAAGGTCTTGTCTGTGCTGTGTGCCAGACCTCCCTACCCTACTCTCGTCTCCCCCAAATTCCGACGCCTTATTGACGGGCTGTGTTCTACACACTCAAGACACAAAGAACACGGGAAATCACGCTAGAAAACTTGACAGCTTGGGAGGACACTGGAAACAGAGAAAGAAGGGGCAGGCGGATTCCATCCAGTATCAGTTCGTTGACAAAAGATGGAGCCCAGAGGGTAATTCTCCCCAGACTGTACTGCCCCAGGGACCTGCTCATCTGAGTGACGGTGGTCTGCACTAGTACAATAAAAAGCAGAAAGACAAGGTTAAGTTCATTCTGAGGACACCCAGCATCTTGTCTTGGCTGCCCAACCTTCTCTGGTTACAGAGTTTAAGTTCTTATGTACACAGAAAAGCAATAAAACTTCCCCTGAGCAAATGGATCTCATAAGCCAATGGTGACACATTGAGTTAGAAAGTCAAACTCTATTACACAGAGACTATTTACACAGGGGGAAGACCTGGCCGTCACATCCTAATGAGAGCCATGAGTCAGCAAGGCTTGGATGGGCGCAAGACTGGACATTCAATCGTCCACTCTCCAGAACCACCAGAAGGATGGCTGAGCACAACCTCTGAGGAGCTAAAGCTTGTCCAAACTGTGGTGTAACCTCTTGGCAGGATAAAAACTGAGAGCAGAAACTGGTCCCCTTTTACACCAAGCAAATTCCTATACAGGTGCTCAAGGTCGGGAGACATTTGTTCCTCTGTCAAAGGAGCAGGTGGCCAGAAGGAGCTAACTCAAAGGCAGAAACCTGCCTTCTGGGCACTTAGATGGCCCTTCCCGTTGTGTATCTCAAGGCAGGATCGTGAAAGGCCGGGCCAAGTTCATGTCCTGAAGGAAGTGGCCTACACGGGTCCTTGCTAGCACCTCCTTGTAGAACTCGACCTGGCCGGTGCTTGCTGGTCAGGGTCAAAGCCCAGGATATAGTGCAGCCACCTGAAGCGCCTGCCTCACCTCTGCCCAGAGGGGTAGTAGTGTCACCACACTCATCTCCGGGCATGTACCCCCTACTCTTGTGACTGGCCTGAGGGAATCTCCCTCCCTGTGAAGGGGGCTGGTCCAGGCACAAGCAATGAGTCATAAAGAAAGATCTCTTGAGGGGCTTCTAGAGGTTTCCTTGAACTACAAAAAGTGATATGCTGCCTGAAATTGCTCCTGCTATCCTTCTACCAGCCTGATGAAACCAACCCTGAAGATGACAGAGCAGAGAGGAAAAGACTGCTTCCCTGGAGAGCTGCTGAATGAAGCCCCTACCTCAGGACTTCCTGCCACGTGATACTGCATTTCCCGACTGTTGAGGCCTGCCTCAGCTGGGATGGCTGTAGCGGGCATTCAGGCCACGTGATGGGAAATGTCCCAATTAGAACCTGTATTCTGGGATGCAAAAAGCAAGGTGAATGGGAAGAAGGTGGTCAAGTGTGACTCGGGCCATTGCACCTGGAGCTGTGTGAGGCCTGCTGTAGAGTCCAGGCTTGGAAACACTGACCCCGCGGAGGATGAGGCAACTTCCTGCGTCATACTCATGGGCCTATGCTGCCTTGCACTTGACCTCTACCACAAAGGTCACCTGGGATTCTCCTCCTTGTGATCAAAGAGAACCTAATAAAACACATCCCTGGGAATTTGCTATTGGTTCATTGGCAGAACTAACCACTTTCTCAAATGCCTTGTTCAGAATTCAGTTACGGCACAAAAAGATCAAATCCAAGCTCAGCACTCAGGATCAATGGGAGACAGCTGTGAAAGGCAAGGCTGGTTTAGAGGCACATTTCCCAGGAGCAGAGGAAGCTCAGCCACGTACATCCACTTGGTGACAACTCAGACACCTCTTTGCCCGCAGCTACTCCCAGACGAGGGAAAGGAAAATGAGCTTGCTAGTCCCCGTATGTCATTAATTCCCCTTCCTGTAAGAGATTTAGACATCAAAAAACTTGTCTCCTGAATCCAAAGACATTTTAATCACCAACAATGGCTGGGTGTAGTGGCTCATGCCTATAATCCCAGCACTCTGGGAGGATGAGACAGGAGGATCTCTTGAGGTCAGTAGTTCAAGATCAGCCTGGGACACATATTGAAACCTGTCTCCAGAAAAAAAAAAAATTTTTTTTTTAAATTAGCCAGGTGTGGTGGCACACACCTGTAGTCCCAGCTACTTAGGAGGCCGAGGTGGGAGATTCACTTGAGCCCAGGAGTTTAAGGTTGCAGTGAGCTATGATCATTTCACTGCACTCTTGCCTGGGCAGTAGATCAGGAACTTTCTCAAAACAAACAAACAAAAAAAAAACAAGAAAGAAAGAAAATCCCAAACAAATATTCCAAGTGAAACGAAATTCCCTAGAAGGGACATTCACAGTAATGAATATTGACTTAGGGTTTGGGGTACAGAAGTACACTTTGCACTTACTGATTGGGCGACCCTGGGCAATTTTTCGCTTTATCCCTGAACCTCAGTTGCCTCATCTATAAGATGGGGATAATAATAGCACCCATTTCATAATTATTAAGATCACATACATTAATGCAAGGAAAACACTTTAGTATGTGCCTGGCACATGCTAAACACTCAACAAATGTTAGCTATTATTCTTTACACACACACGGATACCTCAAAGAGGGATGGAATGTTTAACACAGAAAATAATAGGTTTCGGCCACTCACATGTTCTCCCGGCTCCTGAAACATGAGCGCCCCCACCCAGTCCATCCAAGCCCGAGACAGTCGTCCTTAATCGTCACAGGCGTCCAATTCAAGGCAACTATCAGATGGCTTTCATCGGTATAACTGAAGAATAAAAGCAATTTTGGCTGTTTTGGGGGACAGAACACTAGAGTTTAATCTTCCAACTTGATAGACTTGGAAGCGTTTCTGTCGATATAAAAGATTTTGTTTGGGGCGGGGGAGAAGCCGAGGCCGGCTCCTCGGTTGTACTTCCAGCTCATGGCCCGGTCGTAGTCCCGCTGCAGGTTCTGCTGCAGGGTGTCGGCTGCCTTCTTGCTGAGGGCCATGTTGGGCCTTCCAGCCATGCTAGGGGGGCGGCTGAACGAAGGGGACAGATTTTTAAAGCCACCCATAAGTTTGAGAAATTTCAGTTTCTGTTCCTCATTTTCAAAACCAGCAGTATCCCACTGGCCAAACTGGGTTCCCTGTGATAAGAGACGAAAGGCGGTTATTTTCTTTGATTCCGACGCCCGTTCCTTCCCCGCCCGCCCCCAGTCTCACCAGGGAGGACCCAGCTGGTTAAACGCTTGCTATGTCCCAGGCACAATGCTGATAAGCTCGACAGTGGGTAATTTTATTAATCCTAGCAAGAGCCCCATGAGGAATACGTTGTTATTCCCATTTTACAGATGAGGAAATCCAGCTTGGCGGCTTATCTAGAGACACAAGCCTAACAAGTAATCCCAGTGGAATTCCAACTCTGGTCTAGCTACGCCAGAGGCCACCTGTGCCTGCAGCGCTGCCTTTCTCCCCTAACTCGTGGCAACGGCACAGGGCACCTCACCCCACCCCACCTCGGCGCACAGCACGCCTCCCACCGCAGCAGCTGGCTGTTCATCCATCAGCCTAACATTTCGGTCAGCTGCAGGGTGGAAGAAGACAGGTGGGAACCTGAAGTCCATTTCTCCTCTCAGAAGCGCGGCACTTTATAGCAGGAAGCGGGGAAGGCCCACAGAGGTGAAAGGTCACACAGCCAAGTCAGAGGCTAAGCCAGGCCCAGGAACTCGGGGACCCAATTCCAGCCAGAGCCCTCCGCCACCCACGAATCCCCCATGTGCAAGAAAATGCAAGACAGCCCCTCAAGCCCCTTCCTTCCCACATCTATGGAGAGGCAAGGAACCCAGCTCCCCAAGAAGACATGACTTTGAAGTTATACAGACCCAGGGAAGCCCCACTTGGGAGACCCTGGTCAAGTCATCTCGCCGCCCTCTCTGAGCCTCAACATCATCTCTAAGATGGGGGCGTAACTTCCCCCTCACAGGGCTTCGGTGAGGCTGAAGTCGGATTTTATACCAAAACCCCAGAGCACGATGCTCGGCACATTTTAAGTCTTCGATAACTCGTCATTCTTCTCACCTGACACCAACCAGACTGCTGACCTCCATGCTGCCTGGGGACTTTCCGCTTGCAAGCCACGCGCCAGCCTAGCACTTATTTCTAGGTCGGCTTTGGAAGAACAATAAGAACCAGTTGTTGCTACAGCTGCCCTGAATGAACTGGTGACACATTCTCCCAGCTTGATGGCGGCCCAGATGCAGGAATAATTACAGCTTCCCCAACCCGACCTGCAATTTCCAGCGCGAGAAGCCACCTGTGACAGCCTCGCTCCGGGTCTGAGGAGGGCCGCTGCCCACCAGCGGGGCCCACAGCCGGTCTGGAGGCCCCACCACATGCCCCAGTGGTCAAGTGGCCCCAGGTCCTCAGATCCCATCCCCTGTGCCCCAGGATCACTCTCCTGCCACCAGGTCCCTTCAGGAAGAACCCCTGGGGCCACGGGCTCCCAATCACATGGCCCTGCTTCCTGCCTTCCTTGCTCATCAGGGTGGCCATCGGCTCCGCTCTGCTCAACAGGATGGCGAGGAAGGAGACGTCAGAGGCGAGACACACGACAAAACCCCACTCCACACCCCACTGGGCCACGCGGGAGTCCCATTTTACAGGCGTGGAAACAAGTCCCACTGGCTGCGCCTCTGAAGTAAGTCACGAAGCCGTTTCCTCTCCATACTCTCTGCCACCATCCTAAGGCCGTGGCTGCAGGCTGGGCCTTCTGGCTGGACTCCCCACTTGCCCCGCGTAAATGCCCTCCAGCGGCGCCTGCTGCTTCGGGACCCAGGGCACACTCCCTGCCACAGCAGCTGAGGCTGGCCGGGTGTCGCCTGAGGCCCATGGCCCTCTCACCCCTCGTTCCAGCCGCGGTGCTGCCTTGTTGGCCTTCCCTACAGACCACCCTGAGCCCTTTCCTACCTGGGGGCTCCACTGCCCTGACTGGAAGGCTCTTTCCCCATCTTCCCAGGGCTGGAGCCTCTGCGTCCTTAAGGTCTCTGGACAAGCGTCGCCTTCTGTGAGCCACCTCACTGCCCTCAGCCCAGCTCGTGTGGTGCCCCAGCTCACATTCTGTTTTCTTTCTCCAGAGCACTACTGCTGTCTGAAACGATCTTCCTTTACTCCTCTGTTACTCATTTCCCCACCGTGCCTGCACCAGTGGCCAGACCCTGGGTGTGATGATGGATCACATGGGCCTCGGCCTCTCCGTGTGGGAGCTCAGTAACGAGATAGAGTTGCTCAGCTGAGTGACCGGAGGGCGTGCAGAGATGGAGCAACCGGCCAAGGCCCCAGCCTGCCTACCTAAGCAGCCTGGTTTTGACACTTCCCCATCAAACAGGATCTGGAAACCAGGCCCGCGAGGCCTGCCACCGCCCCCCGCCTCTGCCTCCTGCCCCTGTTCCCAGCAGCCCTCTCAGGGCACTGTCCACTGCTGACAAGAGCTCGCCATAACGTGTCCTCAGCAATCAATCCACAGACACCCGCCTGTCCAGGGCTGGAGACAGAGGTTCGGGCAGCTTATCTGGTCCAGCCAGCTCTCCAGGAGGGAGGCAAACACACCTTCCAGAAGGAAGGAAATTAGCTCAGGACAAACCCCACTGGGCTGGGGCTATCTCAGGGGCCTGGAGAGACCTGGTCCTCCCCACTCCACGTCTCGTGCTGCAAGGCAGGATACCTAGCACCCCCTCTCGCAGGGCCCTGGCGTCCAACTCACCGTCCACTTCTCGGTTTGGAAAGCTTCCGTTTTGCCCGACTCACGATCGATCTCTTCTTGCAAGGCCTTTCGCCTCACCTGAGCAAGGACGAAAGAACAGGGAAGTGAGACAGAGAAAACTCCTTTGAGCTTCAAACCCTGGACAGAGGCGGGGCTGGAGGAATGGACGGGGGCGGCTTTCGTCCAAAGTATCCTCGGAACATCCAGGGGCTACAGTCCCTTGGCCTACACTGGGCATGCTCACTTCTCCTCTTTGGCCAGGGTTTCTTGAGAATGAATTTTCCTAGAAACTGAACTGATCTACCTTCACCATTAGAACATTTTTTTTTTTTCCTAATAGCCATTTGGGGTAGAAACTTTCCCAAAACACAATGCCAAAGCCCTGCCTTCTTGTGCAGAGGATACTGTAGTTAACTTTTGTGATAAGAGCATTGCTTTCTAGAAAAAAGACAGGCTATGGAGTCAGGCAGAGGCTAGTTTGAATCCTAGCACTACTATTAAGTAGCTGTGTGGCCACAGGTAAGTCACTTAACCTTTCTGAACATTGGTCTATTTATCCACAACAGATGGAAAAGTCAGCTATTTTGGAGAGTAAATGGGAAAAACAGAAATATCTATGTAAAGAACCTTATAGAGCACCCAGCACAAAGTAGGTCCATCTTATACACAGTTGCTGGTCCAGCTCAAGGCCACCACTGGAGCACCAATGATCCTGCTGTTCAACATAGAAACTTCCAGGGCATTATCTTCCCTCCCAAGAAAGGGTTCAGGTATAACTCTGGTTCCCCTAATTTGTGGCCCTTCCACCTTCTAATATGCCCCAGGCTACAAAATGGGGTGACCATTTATATAGTTTAAAACCACATAAAACAAGAGTCAAAGGAAGAGCTGTAGGGATGAGAGAGGAAAGGAAGGTGCGCCCTCCCTCCAGTGCAATCACGCTGTGGATGGGCACGATGGTAACAGGTGTGCACTCGCCAAAATGGAGAGCAGTTCGCAAACGAAATGATGAAAGTTAAAGGAACAGTGTAAACAGCATCATTCGATGTTGTTTTAAAATTACATCTATAGTTCCAATGGGAAAAATCTGGAAGGAGGCAACAAAGGGTTAACAGAGATTCTCACTATGCAGTAGGATTTCAAGTATTTTTTCTCCAAAGGCATGTTACTTTTCCCATTTTTTAATATAATGAATTTTTACTGTTTACGAGAAAAACAGAGGGAGAGGTTCACTTACATTTGGGTCATCTCTGCCACACCAAATGGTTAGAAATTTTCTTAGAAATCATATTCGATAAGCACAAATAAATACAAAGCAAAGGGGCTCCTGGCAGGCCTGGCCCGCATGAAGCACACGGGGGTTGACTGCTCCGGGGTCCAGGATCCTGGTGTCCTCGGGGGCTGGGAAAGGAGCCCAGGTAAAGGTGGGGCCCGGACGATCAGGGGCCCACCTCTGCCATCCCACATGGCCGCCTGGCAGCTCCAGCAGCGCTGGCCCCGGCCTTGGCCCTGGTGAGCCGAGCATGACTACGACCTGCTGGGAAGCTGGGGAGCTCCCGTCTCTCAGGGGCCAGGACTTCGTGACAGCCCCGGACGGGACATCTGTCGGCATCATCCCACTGATCCTCTAGGCCTCACCAAGGTCCCCTCTGGGTCTGGGCTTGGGGAGAGCCTCCCAACCCCCAAATCAGGTCTAGCACTTCCACATCTCTGGTAGGTCTCCCTCCTCCTGCTCAGCCCACTTCTAAGCACGCCCTCCATTTCTGCTCCTCTCCCGGAGTAGCAGGGCCATGAGATGGGACGTCTCTGTCTCCCACCCTCACCTTGTCGCTTCTCTCAAAGCACTGACCCAGCGCTCGGCCTATTACATGCTAAGGAAGCATGAGGACGGCAGTCGGGGAATCGGCTGCCATTCACTGAACACAGGGATGAGGCCGGCTCCTGCTGCCTTACAAACATGACCTCATCTTGTCTTCACGACAACCCGTGAGGGCCTGCGCTGTCATGACCCCTCCTTCACAGAGGAGGAAACTGAGGATCAGTGAGGTCACTGCCTGCCCAGGTCCCTTGGTCAGTAATGGTCCAAGGCCAGGCCTGTGTAGCTACCCTTGTCCTGCCAGGCCTTGGGGCCAGGATCATAAAAATACCCCAATTCCAGAAAGCCCAGTTCCCATACAGGATGAGTAGAATCTGGGCTCGTGGCATCTGGGCAGGACAGAAGCAGAAGCTGGTTCACGGTACAACAACTTCTCCTCTAAATGCTCCTGACTTAGCACAGGGGGTGGCAGCCTGTGGGCCTGGCTACGCATGTGTCACTGCCCCAGCTGCAGGGTCTCGGGGACATGCCCCCCACACTCTGCGGCAGGTTACAGGGAACCACCAGTCAGGCCCCTCAGCCACGGCCGAGACAGCCAGAAGGGGCCGGGCACGAGGTGGGAGAGGACGTGAGTTCCCTGTCCTGGCTGGAATCAGCCTGTCCCTGAGCTGTGGGACCTTCACCATTAGAACATTTTTTGTCTGTAACAGCCATTTGGGGTAGAAACTCTCCGTGCCAGAGGTGTGGAGCGGAAGCTGGTCAAGTGGCCTTTGGAGCCCCTGGCACCTCTGAGCCCAGGATCATGTGGCCTGGCAGGTGGGGGGTGTGCCTCTGGGGGTGGCAAGAGGTAGCGGAAGGGTGGGAGGATCCGGGCCGTACCTGGTCAATGTGCGCCTCATCCATGTTGCCTTTCTTCTCCAGCACCACCTCCAGGTCTGCGTCCTGCTCCTGCAGGAGGCCAGAGGTGGGTAAGGCTCAAGCTCGCAACGAATGGCCTCGGCCCCAGCAGCCCGGCCAGGATGAGATCACAAGTCCAGAAAAGACGCCAGATCACAGTATCGATCACTCCAACCCATGCCACCCGGGCAACATCTCAGTCAACAAAGCCCTTCCCATCCTCTCTTCCACGATTCTCCCCCCAAAACAATGGCACTAACCTATTCCACAGATGAAGAAACTGAAGCTCAGAGAAGTAAAGTGACTACAACAAGGTCACCCCACAGCTCAGGGACAAGCTGATTCTAACAAGGTCTCCGGACTCAGGGCTTGGTGTGCAACATTTCCTCCTGTATGTGTCACCTAACCTCCTATGGTGACCAGCCAAGGACAGCCCAAACCAGCCCAAGGACAGAGGCCAAAGGCCTGCTGATCTCCTCCACACTGCTACCCCCGACTCCTGGTCACCACCTTCTCTCCTGCCTGGACAAACACGACAGTCTCTAACTCTGCTTCCCCACCCCCACCCCCGGTCCATTCCACAATGCAGCTCGGGTGACTTTAAAAACTCAATTGGGTCATGTCACCTTTCCCCCAAACCCACCAGGGACTCCCATCTTGTGCCCATGAAAACCCAGACTCCTGCAGCCTCTGCAGCTCCCTACCGCTTAGCCCCTGCCCCCTCAGTGCTACCACTGCCTTCAGCTCCCTCCCTCCACCTGGGCCCAGCACATGCTGCTCCCTCTGCAGGCATGGCCAGGGCCCAGGTCTCAGCTCCTGTGTCATGGCCTCACCGGGCCTGCCCTGACCCTGCTGACACAGGCCATGCTCTCTCACCGGCCTTAGCACCCAAGACACCCTAACAGCGAGACCTCGGGCCACTTTCCACTGGTCCTTCAATAAGGACAATTGCTGACATTTCATGTGCCCTTACTTTAGGTGAGCTATGCCTGGCACCCAGTGTCCTGTGTAATGATCCTTGGGTGGCTCTCTTCACTCACATCACCTGGCCAGACATGGAGCACGTGTGCACCTGCCTAACTCAGCAGCTGCTCTGGGGCGTAGAGTCCCCATCACAGGAGATGGGAAGCAGAGGGAACCACCTTTCACAGGGCTTCTGGGAGAAGGATTCTAGATTCTTTTTTTTTTTTTTTTTGAGACAGAGTCTCACTGTGTTGCCTGGGCTAGAGTGCCGTGGCGTCAGCCTAGCTCACAGCAACCTCAAACTCCTGGGCTCAAGCAATCCTTCTGCCTCAGTCTCCCGAGTAGCTGGGACTACAGGCATGGACCACCATGCCCGGCTAATTTTTTCTATGTATTTTTAGTTGTCCGATTAATTTCTTTCTATTTTTAGTAGAGGCAGGGTCTCGCTCTTGCTCAGGCTGGTTTCAAACTTCTGAGCTCAAACAATCCGCCCTCCTCGGCCTCCCAGAGAGCTAGGATTACAGGCGTGAGCCACCGCGCCCGGCCGGATTCTAGATTCTTACGGGGGTGGAGGCTGGCCTCCAAAGCCTCTAGCCTCCCAACCCCACGTTTCTGAATAGAGGAAGATACTGGTGAAACCAAGTACTAGGGCAAAGCTGGAGAAATCCAGCACCAGAACTAACTCCTGTGGGCCCCCGATGTGAAGGCCACCCCTGCCTTCCCCAACCCCGTCAGCTGCGCTGAGTGCAGGCCACACACACCCTCCCGAAGGCCCAGCTCCAGCGGGCTGACCCCTGAGGAAGTGCTCAAGACACACCGGCCATCATTATTGCTTCAGGAAGGCAGGGCAGAGGCTGGTCCGCAGTCACCCAGGAGGTTGGTGCAGAGTCGGGAAGAGAATCTGGGCTTGTTTTAGCAGAACACAGTCATTTCTTGGGCTCTGTAACACTGGCTTCTAGGAGAGGTTACACAGGTGGTTTCCGAGAAAGGATAAACCCCAAGTTCGGAGGCCAGACTGTCCGGGTTCGAATCCCAGCTCCATCTCTCAATAGCTGGGTGGCCTTAGAGAAAGTACTTAACTCTCTGAAGCCTCAGTTTCCTCGTCTGTTAAATGAGGACACCCATAGCAGCTACCTCACCAAACTGGTAGGAGGATGAGACGGGTTAGTGCATGGAGAGCGCTTAGCGCAGTGACAGGCATACAGTAAGTGCTCAAAAAATGTCAGCCGCCAGCCACTCTGAAGGGTCAGACACCTGCTTAGAGGAGGATACACACCATGAGACAGGACGCACCCCATCTTGTTTCCTCCCTGAACATCCGCACTCACACCGAGGACAGGAACGGCAGCCTAGCCCAGCGGTGCGGGAGCCCCCAGCCCGCCAGCTCACCTCCAGCCTCCCCTCCTACACCGCAGGAAGCCCGGCACAATGGAGACAGCAGGTCTCTGGGTGTCCCCAGGCCCCCTCCCACTCCCTTTTGTTAACTGGACCCAGGTTTTCCTCTCAGAAACCGCCTCCCCCATCGTAAACAGGGTGGTTTAGGTGAGACTAACACTCTCAGCCCCTCACCCTGATTTCCGATGAGGGATTCTGGCTAGGGTGTCCCCGCTGAGCCTGTGAGAGTGGCCCTGGAACTTTTCCCGTCATCATTTTAGAGGGGACATCTTTCTTCCTTTGGGAGCGGCTGAAACACTGGGATGAAAGCCTGGAGCTGCCGGGACCATCACGCCACTGGGGGGAGGGAGGATGGAGAGGAGACGGAGACTAAGACCAAGACAGAAAAATACAAAACCCAGAGCTGACGAAATCTCATGCAGGCATCTGCTGCTATTCAAATCTATTTCATTCACAAATTGTGCACTGAGCTCAAACAGTAAGCTCGGATAGCTACGGGGACCACGTTCTCTCAAATTGCAGGCAGTCCCTGGGTTACAGATGACCCAACTTATGGCATTCCGTACTTGCGAAGGGCTCCCAAGCTCCCCATAAGAATAATTTATAATTAATTAAATTAATAATTTGGGGACCAGTTTCTTCCACACATGTAGACAAACCCACGTGGCGTAAGCGGTTCCTCGGTGCAGCATCTCTGTGCTAGCGGCTAGTCTCATAGATACAGAGAAGCAGCTGGTGGAAACACAAGAACGTCAAGAATCGGACCCAGGGCCAAGAACGTTTATGACGAAAGAATGAGCTGAAGCCTTTCGTCTCACCGAAGCAGGATTTGCTAAACTTGAGGAGCGAGAACCTAACACCGAGCGGTTTACAAAGGCTTCCAGGGCAGTGAGAGAGAACGTCAGCTGCTGCAAGGCCACTGATGATGAAAAAAAGAAACAGGCCGTGCAAACCACCCTAGACGCCTTTCTCGAGAGACTGACTTCAGTGGCGTGCCCCCTCCTCCAGCAACAGCATCCAATCCTGCTGCCCAGCACCCACTCCGTCCTCTCCGCACTGTCTCCGTCATCTTCCGATTAATGTCAGCTGCCTTCTTGCCTCAAAAATGCCCCTTGCAGTAGCCAAGACGTTGATGCAACATTAGGTCAACGTTAACTTTTAATATTTTTTTAATTTCTCCTATCTCCTATGTAAACTTTTTATGTGAGTTTTTGTGTTCTGTTTGCTTGAATTAAAAGAGCACAATAGTTTCTGTAACTTATTATTACAGTACAGGGGTATTAATATTACAATATTATAGTATATTATTATTATCACAAGTCATTATAGTATTGTTGTTGTTATTATTATTATTACCATATATGCGTTGTTCATCTGGGATCCGAGTTACATACAAATGCAACCTAAAGACATTCTCAGGAATGTATCTCGTCCATAACCTGGGGACTGCCTATATTTGGTTCCTGAGCTTTGGACAGCGAGTGGCAAGAGTTCAGAGAGCAAAAGGTTTGAATTTGATCCCAGTTGATTCAGATCCTAAGTGAAGACAGTGAAAACCTGGGTAGAGTTTTGATAGCAAGGGATACCTGTATTATTGATGATACTGCATGAGCCCCTGGATCCAGCCATACCTGAAGGTAGCTATCCATAACCTTTCCAATTACATGTGTCGACAAACCCCCTTTTCTGGCTGAAGTCAATTCAATCAGAGCTCTGGGAGCTAAAAGCACAAGGGCATATGCGTGTACACACACACACCTTCCCAACTCCCACCCTCATTCTCCCAAGGCACAGTCTGTTTCTGAAGGAAAACCTACCTCCTTCCAAGGGTCTCCTGCTAACCCGGTGCTGTCTTTCCTCTTTTTCTTCTTCTTCCTTTTCAGAGGCAGCTCCTCAACAACTGGCTGTTCTACCTTCTTCTTTGACTTCATTTTCTTCTTTGCTGGGGACTTGGGGCCATCTCCTATGGGGATGTATTCTGGAGCCTCAACTTTAACTGGCTTCTTTTTACTTCCTTTCCTAGGGCTGCTCTCCATGGACCTGGAGAGCTTGGAGTGGCCTATGAGGGCGTCTCCCTCCTGGTGGATCTTTGTCTTCTTCTTCCCTTTCCCGCTATGTTCCCTGGGGCTCCCCTGCTTCCGTTTCTGCCCTGGGGCAGCCTGCTCCTCGCTCTCCTGCCCCACCGAGCACGCGTACCCAGTGTCCCCAGCCTCGCAGAACCAAGGGTCCTGGACTGAAAAGCCTGTGGGGTCCTGGGCCTTTTTTTCCTTCTTGTGTTTTTTGAGCTTCTTGCTAGCCCTGGTCACCTCCTCACTCTGTCTGCGGTCTGGGGAGGTCTTCGCCCCCGAGCCATGGGACACGGCCGGAGGTAACAAGGACTTCCTCTTCTTTTTCTTCTCCCTGCTGAGGAACTCCGAGTGGCCAAGGGTCTGCTTCCTGGGGCTGGGTGACTTCTCTGTCCGTCTGGCACATAACGTGGTCTCAGGTTCTAGTTGCTCCTCGCAAAGCGTGTTGTGGCCCTTCTTTTTCTTCTTTTTCTTCACTAGAGGCATCTCCAGTGTCTGCCCTTGGACCACATTCTTAGAGGGGGATGTGGCTCTTGTGGGAGAAACACTGGCAAAATAATTATCATTGTTTAAAATTGAGTATTGAGTCTCTGGTTCTTTAACCACCTTCTTCTTCTTCTTTTTTTTCTCTGGGAGCCCAACGTCCAGGTCTACTTTTTGGGTCTTGGTGATCATTCCTGAAAAAAGCGAACGGTACAAGTTATCCCCACACCGAGCCACCCTGTATCCAAGTCTACTAAGCATTGCCAAGAGCCACGTTTCTTTGAGTGGAAGGTCTAAAATGTGAGAAGACAGGGAAAAATGAACACAACTCCTTCAGACCAAAAAGAAATGACAGAAGTAGCATGAAGTTTAAGTTCAGACAGCCCCAGGTTCAAATCCAAACTGCTCTCTCACCTTAAGTCATTCAGCTAACCTCCCTGAGCCTCAACTTCTCTACGTGGAAAACAAAGGAATATAACACCTCCTTCCTCAAAGGGGTGTTGGACAGAATAAACGAGATAATCCATGGAAAGTGCTTAGTACATTGTTAATTCCTTTTTCTAATCCCCTTCCTCAAAACTCTAAGCCTAGTGATTCACTCAACAGATAATTTACCGACTGCCTACAATGAATCAGAAACTGAGGACACAACAGCTAACAAGCCAGACAGACCAGTCACTGCCCTCGGAGCCTTCCCTTTCACTGGATGAAGCAAACAGAAATCCTAAGAGATCAGCCTTTCTTGCTGGTCCCCACCAGAGGCAAAAAGAGTGGCACAATTAACCCCTTATCGTGGGTCACCTAAATAGCTCTCCTGCTTTGGGTCTGGAAATGAATCTCCCCACTTGTACCCTGGGTGACTTCCTCTCCTAATTGCCTTCCCACGTGGCTAGCAGTAAGAGCAGCAGTAAGGTATAGTGATAGGAGGAGCCCTGCTAAGCCTCAAAAGACCTAGGTTCAAATGGTGACCCTGACACACTCTTGCCACATAGCCCTGGCTTCTGTACACCTGTTTCCCCATCCATAAGAGAGAGCCTGAACCAGAAGCTGCTCAGGCTGGGGACCGCATCCAGCCTGCAAGCCTGATTCACTGTTTTTAAAATTTCAAACTCATTGCCAACATTTAATGATGACACACAGCGACCTAAGATACTCAGTGTTTCTTGGACAAATGTTACAGAGGCACCTGTGAGAAGAGGCTGGGGTCCTCCACACACTTCAGCTTCCAGCTGGGCCACCTCTACTCCAGTCACAGCACAGTTCCTGCTGCTCTCTAGGCCAGATGACACGAAAACATTCAGGGAAACTAGAAACAAAATATCCCCTCACAGGAGGTTAGAGTTATGGGAGCGAAAGGTCAGGAGCTTCTCCCCCTACAGCCCTCCTCATCCTCAGAGCCCAGCGGGTCCACATGGGACCTGGCTCACTCTTAGCAGCTTCAAAGAGCCAGGCCAGGCCTTAGCTATAGCTTAAGTTCATTGATAACCCACTCCAGGAACACCTGGAGAGTCAGGTGTTCCTGGAGTGGGTTATTCATTTATTCATTCCTGTCTGTCCTGCTTCCTGGTGTATTCTAAGAGCTCAGTGCCTGGCCCATAGCAAGTGCTCAGTAGTCACCAATGACTGAATGAATGCTAGAGATCCAGAGACAAGATAAGCCCATCAAGATGCAGGTAGACCACGTATGGTGCTCACACCTGTAATCCCAGCTACTCAGAAGGCTGAGGTGGGAGGATCACTTGAGCCCAGGAATTAGAGATTTAGAGATCAGCCTGGGCAACATGGCAAGACCCTCGTTTCTAAGAAAATGAAAAAATTAGCCAAGCTGTTGGGCCAGAACCTGTGGAAGCAGATCTGTGAGGGTAGGCAGCCTGGACTGGCCAAGTGGTGGCACTCGCCTGGAGTCCCAACTACTCAGGAGGCCGCGGCAGGAGGATTGCTTGAGCCCAGGAGTTCGAGGCTGCAGTGAGATGATCATGCCACTGCACTCCTGTCTGGTGACAGAGCAAGACCCTATCTCTTAAAAAGAAAAAAAAAAAAAGAAGGAGGTAGGTATAGGAGGGAACAAGGTGTAACAATGATGATACATACAGGCTATAAAAGCAAGGAGAGCAGTAGGTCAGGGTGATGGAGTGCGTATAACCAGCCCTAGCCGTTGTCAGGAATGTTTCTAAAGAACAGAGGTTTCCAGCATGGGCAACTGCAGGGTGGTGGTGTTAATCCCTGACACAAAGTAGTGACGGTGGGTGGTTAGAGGGCTGGAGGAGACAGGCTGGTTTGGACAGGGACAGATGCCTTGGGATATCCAAGTGGAGATGTTCACTGGACAGGTGGATATACAGGTCTGAGTCTCAAGGGTGACCGTGCTGACATGGGTGACATAAATTTAGGAATATATGGGCGGTAATTAAGCCTTAAAGAGATCGAGCCTTAGACAAGACCTCAAGAAACACAATTGTGCCCCTGGTTTTGCCATTCTGAGGTTTTAGTTACCCATGGTCAACCATGGTCCAGAAACAGGTGAGTACAGTACAGTAAGGTATTTTGAGACAGAGAAAGAGAGAGAGCAGGAGCACATTCACATAACTTTTATTATAGAGTGTGTTGTTTTTTTATTAGTTATTGTTAATCTCTTACTGCATCTCATTTATAAATTAAATTTTATCATAGATAATACACATAGGAAAAAACATAGCATATATATAGGGTCCGGTACTATCCATCGTTCCAGGTATCCACTGGTGGTCTAGTCCCCCGCCTCAAGGATAAGGAGGGGACTACTGTACTGACATTTAAATAAGCGGGCAGAGGAAGAAGGGATTGCGAAGGAGGGAGAAGGTGCAAACCTGGAGAGGGCGGTGGAGTCAAGGAGGCCAAGAAAGCTTCAAAATAGGGGAGTGGCCAAGAGATCCGGATAAGAACAAAGAAGCCACAAAGGGGAGGTGGTAGGTAAACTTAAATTAATCCCCTTCTCTCCCTGTCTCTGCCACTCAGAACCCTGTAGCATCCTCCTCTTCAGCCCTGCGACACCAAATGTATTCACTCTTTCAAGGAGAAGGCAAGGAAATGAACCTTACGGTGGTTCCTGCAAACGCTTTCTCCAAACGCGCCCTCAAATAACCGCACTAGCCTTGTGAAGGCCGGCGTGAATATCCCACCTCACAGGCTTCGGAGACTTTAATTCCTTTGCCTTAAGTCCCAAAGCCAGTAAGTGACAAACCAGGGATTCGAACCCAGCCCGCATGACTCCAAAGCCTGTGCAGCAACACCCCTGCAGAATTCACTAGGAGGACGCAAAGGAGCCAGGAAGTGAGATCGCTCCGTCCAGCGCTCTGCCACGCCAAAGCTTCTGCATAAACACATACGGAGGGATTACATGGGGTCTCGGGCCGGGAGAACTTCCTGGAGGAGGCGGCCTCAGACCAGGGCGGTTGCACACTGACAATTGGGGGGGGCGGGTTTGGGGTGTGCAGGTGGCCGCTTTCCCCCTCTTCCCCGCCGCGCAAATCCCCAGGCCCAATCTCCAGACCCCCGGGCCCCGCCGCCGCGCCTGCATCGCGCCCCCAGCACTCACCGGCAGGCCAAACCTCCCCGCCTCCACGTGAGAGCCCACTCCGCCGTGACCCGGAAGTCAACTTCCAGTCGGTGGCCCACCCCCTCGGGTTCCGGTTTCTTCCGGGTCGCGGCCGTACGGCGAACGCAGTTGCCTTGGAAACCGCGGCCATGGCGGCGCCGCCGCGGACCCCTAGCCGTACCGCCCAGCGCGAGGAGCCAAGCGGCTCCGCAAACTCGTCGGTCACCCGGACGTCAGTGCCCACCGCGTCCTCCGGGTCTCCAGAGCTGACTGTCTTGCCGGGGCAGGTCGCCGAGCCTCCGGGCAAGAGCCTGTGGGAGCAGATCTGCGAGGGTAGGCTGCCCGGACTGGCCGAGAGGGGCGGGACCCGGGCGGGGGCCGCGTTTTCTGCGCACCCACTGTGCGCCAGGCGGCTGACGTGCGAGGCTGCCGGACAGCCGCGCCGCGGGCCGCCCGGGCCCTGCATTCTACGCGCGGGGAAACTGAGGCTCAGTGCGGCTTCCAGCCTCCATCTGTAGTCAGGTCAAAGGCAAGGGGATGGCAAGGGAAAGCAGAATAAAGAGAGCCTTGTGGTGTGGCCCAGAGGTTCTGAAACCTCCTTTAGAGAACAGGAAAGAATCGCTGAGGCGGAGATGGGCACCTTGTTTAAAACGCAGGTTCCCAGGCCCCGCTCACAGAGGTTCAATGGGATCCAGGGAATCTGCACTTTTAAAGAGCACTCCAGGTGATTCTAGTGCAGGTAGTCGGTGGCCCACACGTTGAGGAACCGTGGGGAGAGCGAATAGGTTTTAATCCTTTCTTGCTTCATACTTTCCTTAACACCCCCAAACGGAGTTTAGCTCCCCTTGCTTTGTGGCCCTGCGCATACCTTGGTCATGAAGCCCTACCGTACTCTTCACCTCCGTTAGGCAAGTTATTTAATTTATTACTCTCTGTGTGAAGCCGGAGTAATGATGGCACCTGTTTCATGGTGTTAGGTGGATGGAACCAGATAGTCACGAAGTGCTTAGCAAACTGCCTGATTTACAGCAAGAGCTGAATAAGTCTTAGTTCTTAATGAATAATGTTGGGTGGTGGTTTTTTTTTTTTTGTCCTCCACTAGACTGTCAACTTCTCAAAGTCAATGCCTCAGATTTTTCCTTCTTGTGGCCACCATCACTACCTCAGCTATTTGAAACAGCGCTGTCCAATAGAACTTTCGGTAATCTTTGCCATCAAATATGGTAGCCACTAACCACGTGTGGTTATTGAGTGTTTAGAATGTGATTAGTGCAACTGAGAAACTGAATTTCTTATTTTACTTAATTTTAATAAATTTAAGTAGCCATGTGTGGCTAGTGGCTACTGTATTGGACAGTGCAGGTCAGTAAATGTTGCTGAATGGAAAAAAGAATGAATGCACCGGTATATGAAAGAGAGAGAGAGAGAAAGAGAGAGAGAGTGTGATGAGATGAAAGAAGTGGGGAATACAGAAGAGAAAGAGAATAGCGGACTCAGAGTTGGTAGATATCCTTAAACGCCATCTATTCCAGCACCCGTGCTTAAATTCCTTTTCCAGTATTATATTGCACTAGAAAAATCTGTTTTATTTTGAATATTCCTCTTTGTAACTTTTACCCTTAGGTCCTTACCCTTTCGTGTTATCACCCAAGGAGCTAATCACTCTACTACAAAGAATCTGCTCAAATATTTGAAGGTAGTTATTGTGGCTCTCTTTTGCCCACAGCTTTCACTTCTCCAAGCCAAACAGCTCTTCACAATACAATTTACTAGTGGGGTGGTGTTGGGGAAGTTGTTCAACCTCATTCATAAGAACAGGGTAATTGTACCTACCTCACAGGGCTGTTGTGAGGACCAAATAAGATAATGTGTGCAAAGATGCTTAGCACAGTGCCTGGCATTTAGGACGTAGTCAATAAATGTTCATTATTGTTGACAAACATGCTTTCCATTGTGTTTTACAGTCGAAGTTTAATTTGGTCAAACAGGCCTGCAGGGAGAAAGCAAAGGCAAAGCGTTTTGGTGCTCTCTGAAAAGCAAGTGAATTGACACCACTTATAAAATGATCGAGTTACAAAGTGAAGTTAATGAGGTCAACATTGATGAATTATACCCACGGGCACTCCGATGGCTGTTATAACCTAGATCAATAAACTCAATTCTTAAACATCTAACAGGTTCAGTTTCTATAATATAGTACAAATATAATGAGTAAATTCAGTTTCTCACAATGAGCATGGAAAAATAGGCTTTGTGGTAATCCTGTGTTTGAGGTTAAGTATTACATTCTATTAGGCTATCTCCGTTTAAAAAGCAAATTGTCATGGGAAACAGACCTTCCAGAAATTCAATTTCATGAAGACCAAAATACAAAATCGGTAAATATCTAACTTAAACAAGACTTTAACCTACCTGGCTAGTGTTCTTTTGTACGTGTGTGCGTGCCTCCCTCTGTGATAACTTCTATGTAAATGTTCTTTGGTTTTCTCCCTCATCTTTTCCAGTGACAGCTAAGAGCTTTGTATTCTCAAAAGCACTTGTATTAGTATCAATAAACTTCTTTCCTGCCAAAGCTTCTAAGTGAATTTTACAGTAGCTTGTGACTTATGGGTAACCAACTATGGTTTGAACCAAGACTGAGTCAAGGCATTTGGGGCTTACAGATTTCTGTTTTTTTACTGCTGTGATTACTCTTATCAACATCCTTATTATTGTCTTTGTTTCATCACTTAAGTCAGTCAAACATTCTCTGGCTTTAGTCCTCAGTGCTGTCATAAAATCTGGTCCCTCATCCCACCTGCCACATACCGACATGGATCAGTTCTGAATCAGTGCTCGTTCCTCCAGCACAGCTACTGAGCAAGCCGGAGAAAAATGACCCCAGATGGCTCTCAGCTCTGTTCAGCAATCAGCATCCATCAGTGCCTTCTCCGGTTGCCTACATCTACTAGTCCACATGTTTAACTCCCTCCTCCTCCTCAAATGTTCTGTGGCACCACCTTAGCACAGGAGGCCTTCACTAGAAGAGTTAGGCAATCAGGAGTTAGGCAGTGTCCTTTTGCCAATAAATATATTTGCATCTGTACATGTGGACAAGTATTCACCCTGGTACTCACTGCTCAGCTCTCCCTCTGTGCTTTGGTAGTGTCCTCTTGCAATCCTAGGATCCTGCTATATCACTCACCTCCTCTCCTACATCTTTAGCTTCTCTACTTCCTTTTCCTTCCAAACACCCTCTGGTCTGTCATCTCAGGAACAATCCCTACCTTAACCCCATATCCTCTTCTAGCTGCCATTACTCCCTCTTCCCCTCTCAGCCCGGCTTCTGTAAGGAGCACACTGCCCACACTTTCATTCCCATTCCTTTATCAGCCCAGTGCAGATTAGCTTCTCCCTTGTTTCTGTAAAGAAATTATACATTCAGACAACATGTATCTACCAGTGCTGGGAACTGTTGTACATGCTGGGCCAGGCATGCCTCCAGGCACTATTCTAGACACAAACAGCTTACTCTCCCATCTCAGTGAATGTCACCATCATTCACTCAGCTGCCCAGTCCTGAAACTGAGGATTCATCTTACTTCCCTTTCACTTTCTATGATCCCCACGCTCATTTGCCAATACTTAGAGAATCTACCTGCTTAGCATCACCACCCTGCCTCGACTGTCCACCTCTGACAGTCCTCATGTCCACTGCCTTAGATCAGGTGCTTACTACTCACCTCCTGCTTGGGTTGTTGCTGTAGCTTCTTATTCTGGGCAGGCCTCTTTCCACACCATATTCCACACTCTATAACAAGAGCCCCTCTAAAATTTAATCATATTATGCTGTGACCTACAATGATTTTTGTAGTTTTCATGATAAACTCCTTAGCTTAACCCTTAAGCCCCTTAGTGATGTGATTCCTGTTTATTGTTCTTGATTCATCGCATACCATTGGCCCAGATCATCCAATGGCAAAGATTCGTTGAACTGCTCTTCATGTGCCAGACACTGTGCTAAGTAAATTACTTTGTAATTTAAGCCTTACAGCAACTGAGGATTTTGCCTGTTGTACAGATGAGGAAATTGAGGCTTAGGTTAGGAAAGTTGCCCCAAATAAGTGGCAGAACCAGGTTCAAACTCAGGTCTGTTTGACACCCAAGTCCCAGCCCTTAAGTGAGATACCAGCATGCTTCGAAGTGTGGACTGGGAGTACCTACATCGAAATCTCCTGGGTACTTGTTAAAATGCAGATTCCTTGGCTCTTTCCTCCCTGACCTGATGACAAAGACTCCTTGGGGACAATTCCTTGAGCTCTGAATTTTAAACACACACTTCAGGCAAGGTACAAGGCACAGTACCACTGTCCGGTGTACTTTGAGTCACACAAAACTATTTCTCCAATGCACCATACTGTTCCTCTCCTCCACGCCTTTGCACAAGTTTTGCTTCTTACTGGAACATTTCTGCCTTTCTCTCATCTCTTTATCTCTCAGGATTCAGTCCAAGTGGCTGTTCTTCTGGAAAGCCTTCCATAATTCCTCAGGCCAACTTCAAAGGACCTTGTCTTCACTGCTCCTAAACTCTTGGCTTACTAGTTGCCCCCTCACCAGAACAGAAGCTCCTCTGCCCTATTCATCTGGCTCTCCAGCAACCCTGGACAACCCCCCGCCACAGCATATGCCCAACAAATGTTCGACAGATTCGCTTCCAGCTTCTTCACCTTCCTGGACCGTCCCCTCCCAATAGGCTACTGTGGGTAAATGTATTTTAATTAATGTTTCCATTAGGAACACGTTCAGCTGCAAATAACAGCCCAACTCATAATGAATGGCCTAAGAATAAAGACATTAAATTAAATTCTCACATCCCAGAAGTGTGGAAGGGAGAGGTTCCAATTTCGGTGTAAGATCTCTGCTCTGCCAAGAAGATTCCAGGCTCCTTCTGCCGGCTCTTTCTGCTCTGGTTCTCTCGCAGAATGTTGCCTTTGTTGTGTTAAAGGAACAACCACTTTCACTTGTTCTTAGATTAATGTTCATTTACCATGCATATAACATTAATTCCCCTAATCAATCTTATTTATAAGCTTCACTAATTGAAAGATTGTAAACATTTATAAATTTGACATACCTGATTTTCTTAAGCACTTCTAATGCAGAACAGAACACACAAGTTTTTCTAAGCACTGAAGCAACTCTTAGAAATCTAATTAATCAAACTGTGGTATAAATCAAGTTGTTTTACAGAGTTCAATACTCTTTACAAACGTAATCAAATTGTCTTATGCCTTTCAATGTAACTGTACCCGTTTGTAATCAATTATGTATTTCAAATTAAAATCACTAGATGAAACTGATGAATTCTCAAATATGTCAGATTCTCAAATATTATTGAGGCATTAAGTAACAAAAAACATCAGATTCCCTGGAGCTAATGTATTTTCTCATATTTCTACATAATCATTTCAACCGTACATCTTTTTGTTTGCTTGTTTGTTTGTTTTGAGACAGAGTCTCCCTTTATTGCCAGGGTTGGAGTGCAGTGGCATCACCATAGCTCATTGCAACCTCCAACTCTTGAGCTTAAGTGATCCTCCTGCCTCAGCCTCCCAAGTAGCTGGGGCATAGGCATGTGCCACCATGGCTGGTGAATTCTTTAATTTTTTGTAGGGACATTGTCTCGATATGTTACCTAGGCTGGTCTCAAACTCCTGACCTCAAGCAATCCTCCTGCCTCAGCCTCTCAAAGTGCTCGGATTACAGGCGTGAGCCACCATGCCCAGCCAACTGTATATGTTTGTTTTTTTTTTTTATTTCAGCATATTATGGGGGTACAGATGTTTAGGTTACGTATGTTGCCCTTGCCCCACCGCAAGTCCGAGTTTCAAATATGTCCATTCTTTGGTTACTGTATATGTTTTGTGGTCATACGATGAATAAGTTTGTATCTTTTCCATCAAATTTAAGTGAACTCCTAATCATTTTCATTGGAAAAAATATAAATGGCAAATAATAAATACAAATAAAAGTTAAATATAATTTTAAATATGTGTAAGATTGATCACACTCTAGAGAAACAGGCAGCCTCACTGTTAGGAATATAGTTAGGAACTTTTTGGAGAACAGTTTGGCAATTTGGTCCAAGTTTTTAATTATTCTCTCCTTTGACAGAAAAATTTCACATCTAAGAATTAATCCTATAAAATACCTGCATTTGGATCAATGATATATATACCTATTATATATTTTATGTGTGTATACACATAAAGATGCTCATTGCAACACTGTAATAATGATACATTACAAACAACCCAAATGCTGGCTGAGAGTACACTGGTTAAATCAATGTGGCACATCATGTATGTAGAAGCATTGAAAGAGGTCCAACATTGAACACCCAGAATGGTTTCTGGCACATAATTGGCTCTCAACAAATATGAAGGAATGAATAAGGAGTCAAAAGCAACTTGCTATACTGTTTGTTTTGTTCACCCTTTCATTCATTCATTCATTCATTCATTCAGCATGTATTCTTTGGGGATATAATGGTGAGCACAAACAGGTCCAGGTACTTCCCTCACAAAACACACAGTCTATTAGCAAATACAGTCATTAATTTTTACAAATTTCAAATAAGGGAAAACTAATATGAATTATGAAGAAAAAGGACACAGTGCTGTAAGATTCTATGCTTGGGCAATTTGACCTAGTCTGGGAAATTTAAAGCAAACAAATGTACTTGTATATTATATACATATATTAGTAAATACATTGAAAAATACTGTGTGACTTTCACTGTCTACATAAGACATTCTTATATTATTTGAAACTTTCAGTATGTCTTGCTCTTGTAACCAGACAAAGGGATACATGCATAGATTTTAAACCCATATAAACAGTCTTCAGACTATATCAGTGATTCTCGAGACAGTGGGGGAAAGAAGGATGAATATACATGCTAGCCTGAGAGGGAAAAATAAAAGTGGTAGAGCTACATCTGGTACAGTAGGCAGAATTCTACGAGGGCCCCCAAGACTTGTGCCACCGAATGCACACACTTCTCTGTTACTCAGTCAAACACAAATCTAGGTGTTGCTGTGAAAAGATTTTCTAGATGTATCGAAAGTTTTTAATCAGTTGACTTTTAAATTAGGGAGATACTCATAGGTGGGCCTGACCTAATTAGGTGAACCCTGAAAAGCAGTCAGAAGTCAGAGAGGTTCAAGCAGAAGAGACTCTCCTGCTAGCCTTGAGGTAGCAGCAACCATGGCAAGGACCTGAGGAGGGCCTCTAGGAGCTGAGAGAGATTCCCAGCTGACAACCAACAAGATAACAAGGACTTCAGACCTACAACAGCAAGAAACTGAGTTCTGCCAAAAACCAGTGAGCTTGGAAAAGGACTCCAACTCTCAGATAAGATCACCAGCCACGGCCGATGCCTTGAATTCAGCCTGATGAGACACTAACCTGTTCTCGGACTCTTGACTCAAGGCAATTGTGAGATAATAAATTCATGTCACTTTGCGTCACTAAATGTGTGGTAATTTGTATACCACCATAGAAAGCTAATACAGCTGGCATTGGGAATCACAGTTGCTTGTAAGCCTGTTGTGCTTGTCCCCAGCCTGATACTTAGGAGTTAAAAAGTTGAGGGGTTGAGAAATGCTATACTACCTGATTAAGTAACTAGGTAATGGAATATAATTTGTGTCTACTACAACTATGTCCTATCAATACCATCTTGCCCATTTATTTTTCCTCATTCCAATTGCAAGTGACTATGCAATTGCCTTTCAAACACTGCTCTTTGCAGAAATATTTTTACCAGTCTTTGTTTTAGGAATGTAAGTAATACAGCCCGTGTGCATTTTCTGTCCCTCTCTCAGCCACAGTTGTCGCTTCCCCGTAGAACCTGTGTAGACTGTTGTTGCCATTAGTCCATCTTCCCTTAACCACCCTCCACGTCCTCTTCCTCCCTTTATTCCTCGTAGTTGTCACAATATTGGGGCATAATCTGAAGTTGTATCCTCGGGGGAAAAGAGTCTCAGACTCTTGGATGAAGCCTTGATTCCTTCATGTGAGAGACTGACGATCATCTGTTACCTGTTTTAAATAAGGTGGTTCACATTAATTATAAACCTGTAACGGCCAGTTTTTTTTTTCATTTCTGCATACCACAAACCAAAATAAAATTGAAGAATGTTTCATTTAAAGAAAAGGAAATTACACTGCAAGGAAGTATGGGATTGAGGATTTTTTTTCCCCCTTCTCTTTAGAGTATGAAGCTGAGCAGCCTCCCTCTCCAGAAGGAAACAAAGCCAAACAAGAAGCCGTGATTACTGTGAGTATTGCCCAGGCTTCAGCCTAAGTAAGAGGCTCTAAAATGAGAACAGACTGATGGCCAGTGGTTGGCAGACAGTGTCACGAGTTAGGGAGGTGGGAAAGGGATGGCACTGGAGCTAGAACCGGAACCTTGGGGCCAATCCTGACTCGACTACTGATGTTGTGACTTAGAGAGTGACACGTGATCTCTGTAAGCTGTAGTTTCGCATCTGTATGAAATGGGACAGATAATTCTTGACTAACTCACAGGGCCTCTGTGGGGCTCAGATGAGATCCTGGGTGAGAAAAGTCTTTACGATGGATCTAACACCACGTCCATGTTGGGGACAGTTGCGGATAGTGCAGGTTTCTGCACATGCCAGTGGGGACGAAGATGAAGACTGTGCTAAGGAGAGAGGGCCAAGGACAAGGCAGCCAGGAAGGGAGTCCCTCAGGAAGTCTACCTTGGAGTTAAATTGGGACTTAATGGAGTTTAAAATGTTTTAAAAAAGCAAGGTTCTGAAAGATGAAGGAACTTGAGCAAGGTCACAGGCATGGAACCAAAACCTGTATCTCTAGACTTCTGGTAAATCCCATGACTGCAGCTGCCCCTGACATAGGATATTGGTGTCTGAAACATCTTTCTTGTTCTGTGATCGTTCCTTTTTCACAGCATCCTGTCCTTGCTTTATGGATATAATTCTTTCTCAAATTTCTCCCCAAATACTAATTACAGTTCTGTTCCCTGAATTATTAGTGCTTCTTCTAGGGTCAGTTGTTCCGTTTATAGATCTTGATCTTTGTCTTTTATGCTATTGATTTTCTTGATCCGAGTAGAGAGCTTTGTTTATTCAAAATTTAAAATGGAGACCTGAGTGAATTTTTCTCTATAGCTGGTATATTAGGGTTCTCCAGAGAGACAGAACCAGTAGGATATATATAGAGAGAGAGGTGAGAGGGCATTTATCAGGGTAATTGGCTCTGCAATTGTGAAGGCTGAGAAGTCCCATGATAGGCCAACTGCAAGCTGGAGAACCAGGAAGCTGGTGGCGTGGCTCAGTCCAAATCTGAAAGCCTCAGAACCAGAGGAAATGATGGTGTAACTATTAATCTGAGACTGTGACCAAAGCCTGAGATCCTCAGGAGCCACTATTGTGAGTCCTGGAGTCCAAAAGCCAGGGAACCTGGAGTTCTGAGGTCCAAGGGCAGGAGAAAGAGGGCATCCTGGCTCTGGATGAGAGCAAGAAGTTGGCCGGGCGGGGTGGCTCACACCTGTAATCCTAGCACTCTGGGAGGCCGAGGCGGGCGGATCGTTTGAGCTCAGGAGTTCGAGACCAGCCTGAACAAGAGCGAGACCCCGTCTCTACTAAAAAAATAGAAATTATCTGGACAACTAAAAATATACATATATAAAAAAATTATCCAGGCATGGTGGCGCATGCCTTTAGTCCCAGCTACTCGGGAGGCTGAGGCAGAAGGATCGCTTGAGCCCAGGAGTTCGAGGTTGCTGTGAGCTAGGATGACACCTCGGCACTCCCTCTAGCCCGGGCAACAAAGCAAGACTCTGTCTCAAAAAAAACAAAAAGAGAGCAAGAAGTCACCCTTCCTCCACCTTTTTGTTTCTTCCAGGCCCTCAGCTGATTGGATGGTGCCTGTGCACACTGAGGGCAGATCTTCCCCACTCAGTTCAGTGACTCACATGCCATCTCCTCTGGAACACTCTCAGACACACCCAGAAATAAGGCTTTATCAGCTATGTAGGCATCCCTTAACCTGGTCAAGTTGACACCTAAAATTAACCATCACAGCTGGTGTAGTTTTCTTCTACTGCTACACATGTGGGTTTGTTTTCTGGATGGGTCTCTTCTATGAACAGAAAAACGCTGACTGAGAGCTCATGGACAGTGACTGTCCACTGGAAGCCTTTCCTTCCGGGTGAGCAGGCAGAGAGTCAGTATACTGGGATTGGGCAGGGGGTCTCTCCGAATCATTTTTTTTTTCTTTCAGCCACCAACGTGATACCCTACGTAGTTCTAAGTAGTTCTGCTCATTCCCAGGGCTCTTTGTTTCGTTTGTTTACAGAAGAGTCATTGGAAAGAAGGGGGAACTGGATATATAATAAAATGCTGGATATATAATAAAATGCTGTGTGAACGCAGCTTCATGTATATTGGAGGTGGGGGACCGAAGCAGAGGTGGGGAAGGTGGGCAGCAGGCCGGTGGAGCCCAGCCAGATTTCCACTTAACACCTGTGTATCATTCCTGCCTCATTCCTGCCCTGCAATGCCTGTCAACTGTGAGTGTTGAGCCCTTTTGAGACTCTGGTAGGAAGATGGACGTCTGTCCTCTGGGGCAGGTTCCTCCTGTGGCTCCCTTCCCCTCTCACTTATTGAAACAGGCTTCATCCCTGTTTTTTTGGATGTGTTTGCAAATCTCTCCTTTACAGATGGTCCTCGGATTCTTTTCTCTATTAGGGGTTTATTCCTCGACTGTCATTTATGGGTGTCTCGGGGAAGGCAGACAAAAATTTATGTTCAGTGTGCCCCCTTGAACCTAAAGTCTGATACAGAATTTTATTCCTTTGTAAGGTTGTAAGAGAAAATACAATTATTTATACTGTTTGTGTGAATTGATTTCCCTCCCCCACCTACCCCCAGGTTTCACCGTTGGAGGAAATGCTGTCCCACGGCTTCAATATAGAGCACTATTTTCCAGTTCCGCATTTCCCCGTGACCTCATATAAACCCTGTCCTGAAGATAAAGTGGAAACAGTCGATCCAAAAACATGTAAGTAAGGAAGTGAGATTTCATCTTTTGTAGTTTTGGGCTCGTAATATTGTGAAACCACAGGGCGGGGATGGGAGTGGACAGATACACCTCAGGGAGACTACATAAATAAGTTCTTGTTTTAATTTTTATTTTCGAGAGAAGTATCCTTTATTCCACTGATTTATCTTTAAGGTTAAAATGTAATAAAGATAATAAGTGACAACAAGCATACCTTGATCCTACATTAAATACAAAGTGGGGAGAGAGAAGGGTAAACAAATGTAAAAAGGAGAAGAAAACATCACGCTGCCTTGCTGTGTGTGTGGAAGCCAGAGGTAGAGGCTGCAGAACTGAGTCCCGGTTCGCTGGGCCCTCCCTGGTGCCAGGCCCTCTCCTACCGGTTTTTTCTGTGCCCTCTGATAGCGTGCTCTGGGCCTGGGCCAACCACTGCCTGTGGCCACAAGGCCCTATCCATTATACTTCCCTTGCTTTTGTCCCTCTGGCCACACTGGCCTCCTTGCTGTTCCTACCTTGGGAACCTGGCCTTACATAGGACCCTGCCTACATCCTCGCCAGACTACAGAGGCTCAGAGGGACATTTTAAGTTTCTTTAGTAATACAGCCCAAGTCAGCAGTCTGGAGCAAAACGTAACGTTTAAGGTCGTGTTACTGAATGGATGGTTAAGGTCGTGTTACTGAACGGACAGTACCTTTCTCTGGCTCAGAAGTAAACATTTCTCCCAGATCAACTTGGGCCATTTGGGATCTGCAGTGGAAAGTTTTGTTTGTTTGTTCTAGGTCCCCCCAAAGAATATTTGGAAACTTTCATCTTTCCAGTTCTGCTTCCCGGAATGGCCAGCCTGCTTCACCAGGCAAAGAAAGAAAAATGTTTTGAGGTCAGTTGTTTGGCAGGGTTTCTTTATTTTTAAATTCTCAATAATTCATTTTTATCAGAGTACAGCTCATTATCTCAGTACCATCAAGTTGATCTCAAAATGATCCCTGTGGGAGGGAAAGCCTGTGCTTTGGGTCACTTACCCAACCCCAGCCACGCCACCTAGCTGTGCTCATACATGCGCTGCCATCTGTCTGGCCACTGGGGCTCCGGAGAGGTTTTCCGCCTTGCTTGGCCTCCCAGCTTGCTTTTCCTGTGCATTTGGCATCCATCGGGTGTTGGGTCCTCCGCTCCCGTTTATCACACGTGCTGATGAAAGCTCTCCTCACCCCTTATCTGGCTCTGGATGTGGATCTTCCCTTTCTGGCCTCTCCCTAGCCCACTTCATGCCAACTGTCATGCATGTAACTTGCTTCCGGAGAAGTCTGGCACACAGTAAGTGCTCAGTAAATAGCAGGCATTATCACACTGCAGCCAGTTATCTGTACAAACTGAGTTCTCATCCTGGTGCACTCCCATGTAGATTCCCATAGAGGTTCCCTCTTTTCTACAGTTCACAAGATACTTTGGGTGTATGTGTTCCTTGCACAGTCTTGAGTTCTAGAATTGGGGTGACCCACACAAAGAGAGTAAAATAACAACATTTCATATTGGCCAAGCACTTGCTCTGTGCCAGGCACTTTGCTAACTGCCTTGTCATCCATTATTTCAGTTAATCCTCACAACAGCCCTCGAAGGTTCCTCCTATTATTGTTATGTGCATTCCGCAGATGATAAAAGAGAGGGACAGAGGTTTGAAATGTAATCAAGGTTGCATGGCAGAGCTCGAATGCAGATTAAATGATTCAAAATTATACTAAAAAGGTTGACAGTAATTACAGTGCAAAGCCCAAACAGTATGACACATCCGGGGTCTATAAAAGCATTCAGAGTTAACGATATCACCCGAGTAGCTGCTCTTCAGCATGGGGTCCCTGTCTGAGAGGACCTGC